AACATATACATGTAACACCTGTCAAAGAAAACATATACATGTAACACCTGTCAAAGATAACATATACATGTAACACCTGTCAAAGAAAACATATACATGTAACACCTGTCAAAGATAACATATACATGTAACACCTGTCAAAGATAAGAACTTTTTTGTTTGTACGCATGAATGACTGCACGTGCCAAGTAGTCGATCTAAGGTCACGATAGGGTAAACAGAGAGAAAGTTGACAGGGGAGATAACAGAGAAGTAGTAACAAGAAGAATTTAAAGAGTAAACATGGCTGATGATTCAGCAGCGGTTACATGGTTTTAGCAATACAAAAATACGAAAAAAATGGGATTTTTCAATGACGATATGTATTATTGTACAATATTCACATTACCAGCGTCAATGTGTTCATTATTCGCATGCAACTTATCAACTAGAACAAACATGAAACACACACATACATGTATATATAACAATGTATTTACAACCCCTAATATTGAAAGACTCATGCATGAATTTGAAAAAACACAAATAATTCATTTTACAAATACACATGCATGTACACCTATTTATACATACACTGTATAAGTTATTTATTTTCAAAACTGATTTGCCTTTTCAGTAAGGAGTAAGTACATGGACATACACGAATATACACATGCATATATATATATACAAGCATGCTTGCATACATACATACATACATACATACATAAGCAGCATGCATGTACTATCTTATTTGCTATGCATACAAGTAAACGTTCACATATATTATATTATATATAGTATTTAAATACTCGTGCATTTATATGAAATTAAATGAAATTAAATATCTCACCCGAACATACACAGAGTATATACACATACACTTATGGTTATACATATTAATGTTGTCAGTGACCCAGTGGTCAGCATTAATGTTGTCAGTGACCCAGTGATCAGGTTTAATGTTGTCAGTGACCCAGTGGTCAGCATTAATATTGTCAGTGACCCAGTGGTCAGGTTTAATGTTGTCAGTGACCCAGTGGTCAGCATTAATATTGTCAGTGACTCAGTGGTCAGCATTAATGTTGTCAATGACTCAGTGGTCAGCATTAATATGTTGTCAGTTGTCAGCATTAATGATGTTAAAGTTTTAATGACAAGAAGAAAAAGAAAAAATTATCATAAAACAAACTTTAGAAGATGAAGTTCCTAAATTTTTGTTTTAACTAAAAAGTGCATGTCAATGAGTTGTCGTTACTTATATGCATTCCTTTATTTTTTCAGTTCCCAGGCAAAGGAAAACTAAAAGGTCTTATATTAAGGTCACAAATTTTAGTACTTCTGAAAAAAAAGGTAAGCCACACAAGTAATCATTTCAACATTAGTAAATTATATAGCAAATATAAGCCTTCCAGTACGTAGCAGCAAAGTAAACTAAAATACATTGTATAATGTTAAATGTATGTAATTTAAGACTGAAGTTAAATTCACATTGTATGTTCAATATTGGTGTTGCACACATATTCAGTTGTGTTCAGAAAAAACGTAATGAATTCCACAGGTGTTTTTTCAAGACCATCAACTGTTACTATCGAACAATGTAAAACATTTTGAAACAGACATTTTTTTTAATACAGCAAAACAAAGAGCAACAAAAAAAAAAATTCTTCATGTTTCAGATATTCAGTCCAGTAGGCACACCACAGCCAAGAAATATACGACTGAAAGACTTCAGAAATTTTTATCCAGTTTACCTCAAAGCTCATGTAAGTTGATGGATTTTGATTCTGATTTGCACAGTGGACAATTAGTCACTTTGGTCATCAATACAGTTTGACACTTTTATAACCCCTAGAGTACAACCTGTCACTTGGCCATGAATACATTGTCATTCAATATAAATTAACAATTAAAATATCATGTCGTTTTTAGTTTAATCATTTTTGTATCCTCCACTTACAGAGAGGGGTATTTAGTTATTGCTTCTTCAGTGAATCCATGTGTGTGTCCGTCTGTATTTTAAACTGTGGAACATGATGAATGATAAAATTGGTTTTTATTTTGCTTCTTTCTCATTTTTCTGATTTTTTCCCCCCAGGAAATTGAAATTTCAGATGAAGAAAGAGAACACATTATGGACTTGCGGCCTTTCATGAATCCATCACCATATACCATAGAATCGGTGAGTAACACCATAAACAATAGAGTCTATAACACCATAAACCATAGTCTGTGACACCATATACCATAGAATCAGTGAGAAACACCATAAACCATAGAGTCTGTAACACCATATACCATAGAATCAGTGATTGACACAATATACCATAGAGTCTGTGACACCATATACCATAGAATCAGTGAGTTACACCATATACCATAGAATCAGTGATTAACACCATAAAACATAGTCTGTGACACCATATACCATAGAATCAGTAGTAGTACCACCCGATCATAGAGTCTGTAACACCATATACCATAGAATCAGTGAGTTACACCATATACCACAGAATCAGTGATTAACACCATAAAACATAGTCTGTGACACCATATACCATAGAATCAGGAGTAGTACCACCCGATCATAGAGTCTGTAACACCATATACCATAGAACCTGTTAAACCATACGCCGTAGAAATTGCTGTAGAAACTGTGAGTAGCTACCTGTATCCATAATCATTATTATTGATGAAGGGTAGTAAAATAAATGGAAATAAATGAGGATGAATAACACCATTGAAACCGAGGGGTATTTGGGGGTAAATAAACAACCCAAGCTCGACGTTTTTATAACGAACCAGTGGTTTTATTGTAGGTAAATCTTACCCTGCAACGATACAAACATACAATACTTTACTACGCATACACATAACGCTATCGATACATATATTACAGAAACGAGTACAATCTGACAATTAACACTTAGCTGTAAAATACGTACGTTTAACCGGGGATTATATAATAACAAATAAAGAATTGGAAATAGGGCATATACTATTTCCTTATCTATTAGGTACAATATGGATTACAATTTACCTTTACACATATATTATATTAAAAGTGTATGGCCTTTTGGCATTTACTGTTGACGTTACTCATAAATGGTGAAAACTATTCACGGACGTACACTATGACGGGACATTCAAAAGGATATATATATATTGGGATTCTTATGACTTATAATGAAATAATCACCTCTGTGTGGCAGAAGGCTTTACAATATGTCCAGCTCATGTATTAGTCTGTACACATATTCAAGTCTGGAAACATAAACGATACAAATAATAAGATATGGAATATAAACACAATCGTACCGGCCGGTGTAATGGCGGTCACTCAGGTAAACCCAGCGTACGCACACATACATGTTTTATTTAAAATAATATAAAATACCGTATAAATAATATCAGATACTGCTCGCGGGAAATACCGCACGCCGGACAGGAGAAAGGACAAATAGAAAAGATCGACAGGTTAGTTTGTAAATCGAGAAATCGAGTTTATACCTCACTTATATTCTTGTCAGTTGTCGTTGTCGTCGCTCTCTCGTCTACCTAGTCATACAAAGGTATCGCGCGCCAACCCAATAGCCAATCAGATAATAGATGTATACTGACGTCACACTACTGACCTCTATACCGGACATATTATTATACAACAATTATTATACAACATTAAACTAAATTTGATAAAATTCAATCCTGCCACACCATGCATCATAGAATCTGTAATACCATACACCATACAAACTGAGTAAGCCAACATACCAGGCCTATTCATTTTGCTGTCAGTGAATTTTACTATAATACATCAGAAAAAGTACATCTGAACTTTTATATTGATAACTTAGGTAACAGTATCTTTTGCTATTGAAGTATTATTTGAAATGTTAATATTTTTTCCCTTTTTCAGACATTTTCACTACCACGAGTATTCAAATTATTCCGTGGACTTGGACTGAGGCATTTAATTGTTGTAAATGAAAAGAACCAGGTACAGTCATTACTTGATGTTTATGTCCTAGTTTAAGAATAATGTTAATTGGAAACATCATGATCATTGACATGTGGGTTATATTGTCATTGCATTATTATTCTCTGGGTCTCATTGCATTTTGTCTGAAGTTTAGTAAGCCAGTAGCAATTAGGGTAGACAAAGTGATATGGATCTGGAAATCTGGCCTGTGTCAGATTGTTGTTGTCACTATTCTGATGTCATAAGGGTAATTTTCACTACAACTGAGTCATGCTAGAAGATGCCATTAGTCTGGTCCCTCACCTGGAACTTTAAAGGGGAGTTGGTGAAACAAGTGTCATTGACTTTTCTTAATCAGTCTAGAAAACTCTGCTTGCAAGCAAGTTACAGACTATACATACCATCAATCTAAGCCTCCTGGTTAGTAAGGAGAAGTTGTTCCAAGATTTAACACATTTGATCCTATGACCCTGAACTTCCCAGCAACTAACAGGCCAAATATCAATAACACAGGTCTTGTGGATCTTAAGATGAAGTTATTTTTAAAAGATTGACAACTATATGATGGATGGACAGCACAGTAAAAAGTATAATCAATAGTTTATAATAGGTTAAAATTTTAGGTATTTATATTAATGTTATTAATTCATTTGTCAAATTTCACAGGAGATATGTGGGCAAACTGCTTGAAAAGAATAAAACAGGATTTAAATAAACATATGAGAGTAGAAAGGGTATTAGAAAATAAATTCATGTAATACTGCAAGATGAGATTATATATTTTATGTGGTTCTTTCCTTTTTGTTTCAGGCCATTGGCATGGTGACACGAAAAGATTTAGCAAAATTCCGAGCAGGTTCAAAGAGAGGTATTGTGAAAATTGAGCATTTAAAGATTGAGGACATGTAATCTGGACATGGCTGTTACCTCATCGTCTCCATGTGTTCCTATATCACCCACCATCCTATATACGGTGGCTGTAACCTTGTGCCAGTCATCACGCCGAAAGAAACGCTAGCTCATCATCATTCACACATTAATCTTATGTTGACCGTTATGACATGAACATCAGTTGTCTAGTTGTGGTGCCAAACATCACACAGGTCACTCATCAATTGCAAAACTACAACAGCTAATCGTCTTGAAGGAATCGTCGTACATTGCACCACGTGATCGTTATTTTCAGGGTTGTCCGTAAGTCCACACAATCAGGGTCCTGAAGAGCGCCTGATATCCTGTCACATCACACATGGTTCAATAGGGAGCTAGTCCAAGTCTTCCTTTCATTCCACTGTATAAAATACCTACTATGCACCTAAGTGTAATGTCAGACATGTTATGTACACATTTGTGCCAAAAATAGCACACAATGACTTTTTTGATAACTGTGCTCTGAGGTCATATGTTGACAAATGACCTGTTGGTTAAACAGTTGTCATCTGTTTACTTTTTTATGTTGATTGTTGATGTTATCTGTCTACTGAAAACTGTTATAAAGTGTGACCACGAGTTATTTGTCCAGATAAATTGTACACATGAGTTATTTCTCTAGATAAATTGTACACATGATGAGTTATTTGTCTAGATAAATTGTGCACGTGAGTTATTTGTCAAGATAAATTGTACACATGAGTTATTTGTCTAGATAAATTGTACACATGAGTTATTTATCTAGATAAATTGAACACATGAGTAATTTATCTAGATAAATTGTACACATGAGTTATTTGTCTAGATAAATTGTACACGAGTTATTTGTCTAGATAAATTGTACACATGAGTTATTTGTCTAGATAAATTGAACACATGAGCTATTTGTCTAGATAAATTGTGACCATGAGTTATGTCCAGATACCATTGAACACTGCTCCAAAATTGTTTGTCTAGAAATTTGTTTTTGTGATTATTATTTAGAGAAATTACCCTATGGGTTATTTATCTAGAGGTGGGTTAATCATTTATTGAGAGAGGTGTGCTCATGGGTTATTTATAAAGAGAAGTGTACTCATGGGTTATTTATTTAGAGATGGGTTATTTATCAAGAGAAATCTTCCCACTGGTTATTTATCCAAAGAAGTATACCCATGGCTTATTTATCAAGAGATGGGTTATTTCTCTAGAGAAATGTCTCATTGGACATTTATCTGGAGTAGTGTCTTCATGGGTTGTTTTTCTAGACAAGTGTCTCAAGGGTTATTTGCCGTCATTACTATTCACACAAGTAACTGTAATTGTCTGTAATATAAAGAAAATACCCATCATGGGTTACCATATTTATCCATGAGCATACCCATGAGTATTTTGTTATTACAGAGGAGCACTGTGTATCTACAACTGTTACAACTATTGCATTTTTTCTAAACTCTTCACAAAGATGTTTTAATTAATAAGGAATATTTTATTGCCGTTGGCCTTAACAAGAGGGATGTTGATTAAGTTGTAATTGGCACATTCCTTGACATATCAGGGTTCTGTGTGAAAGATGTAATTTTATTTGTATTTATTATAAGTATGTCATATTTGATCATTTAGTATTAGACCTACTGCTGTGAGCATTGTTACATGTATCTGCTATAGTTTATAGTTGTTATCACAAGTGATTTATTTTTGCATAGTTTGCGAATGAATAACAATTCAGAAATAAAATACCTGTGAATGTTTTGCACTTTTGAGAAGAAATTATGAAAATGTTGAATACAGAAACATAAATAAAATGATATCTGTACAGTATATTGAAGTTCATATGAACAAATCCCAGATTTCTACATTGCATGCAAGAATTGATAATAAAATGTCTCAATTATCAGTGTAGTATATCTGTCTATTTTGTGAATGTCACGTTTGGAGCCACAGTTGGTTTTAACCTTATATGGAGTATTGATTCTATACAAATTATGAAATATGGTTTTCAACTCCTCAATATTCATATTGAAGGGCTAGAACAATATTTCAGTTGTTTAATTTATAAGTTGGGTTAGTGTTGTTGCATTGATAGATTTAATGTATTAACCTTATTTTGACAAAATTTCCTCCAAATAATCACAAATCATTTTTACTTGTTATAAAAAAAAAACATGTACCATAAATAGTATGCAACTTGAATGACTGTAATATACTTCTTTTTTGCTAATTTTAGATATCTAATGTCACGACACTAATCGTCAAAAAGCTTTCCTCATCATACTAGGGTTTATATCTGGGAATGAAATTTCTCTAACAAATCAAGTAGTCGTTTTATTTTGAAGATTTGAATTTTTATTCAAAAGAATTACTCATCGCAAAAAAATCTTAAAAACTTTCTAAAATGGAATCTCCACATTGCCAGCTTTGGTAGGTTGTATGCCTTACTGACAGTAATCTATAGAAGACTTTTGGGGTATTTTTGGAAGGTGGCCTCTGTCTTTCAGATTTCTCAATGATAGTGTGGTAGGTGGGTTTCAAGAGAATGAAGTTTCAAAGTCTTTACCCTGGGGAAGATGAGGAATGCGAAAGATAGTTACTGCATATAGAACAACATTCAGTGTTATGTTATATGTACATGACCATATGATTACTTTAAAAATATATACAATACTTAATTACCCAGAAATATCTGCTGTTACATATCAGAAACATAGACACATATACACTGCAAAACCAAGATAGGTGTTTACTTATTTGTTTTCCTCCTTAAGATTATTGTAATCAGTATATCCTCGAATAACAAATGTATGCAATTATCCCTTAAGAAGTTCTAAATTCTAGAATGAAGCAAAAAATAAAATGACAAATTCCTCGGCCCTGCACTATATCACATGCTGTTGATAGCCTGCTTACAGGTGCTTTGTGTGAATTTTTGTTTTGTATAGTGCACACTTATATATAATCGTACGTAGAATATATATGAACAAAATTGCTAATATCGGACGGAAATGACAGTGTTAGATAATATATAACTGTACATTAGATATCAGTAAATGCCGTTAGTATAACTGTGATAAAGTTTGGTTGTTTGACAGGGTTATGTTTGATTTAATGTTATTTTATATAAAGGAATAGCCTTGAGTTGTTGGCCGAGTGTGTGTTACAGGGATGATGGTTTTACGTTTATTTCATTTTTGAGTCTACATTTTTAACACATAAGTTTTGACAAGCGTTAGATGTTACACTTGTCCAAAGTTTTATTCTAGAGATGCTGAAAGTTCAATGTGGCTTTCTGAATTAATGCATAAGCCTGTCTGTAGCCTGCCTTGATTTTTCTGTACAAATTATTTTGAACTTCACCTAACCTTTTTCTTCATCACTATGGAAACTGATTATACTGGTAAAAGATTGTTTCCCAATTTTTCAGACTGTGAATAATACAAACAACTGATTTTTATAATTACCAGGTAGTGTATTTGAAATAAATTGTTGAGTTGTCCCAGGAACTCGATCTAATACTAATCTCATTATGGTAAAAAATCCTCATAAAAATACGCAGAAATGGAAAAACGGAAAACTTATTTGCTTAGGTTAACCTCTGAATGGAAATGTAATGATTTTAGATGATAAACATGTTGCATTTATTTTTCATCTACCCTCTGGTCACTACATTTGTAAATTTAAAAGTAAACGAGTGATATGTGTTATTTAATTTCACAAACCATGACTGTGTGATTTATTAATTGGTGTTATGATTTATATCTTGTGTGTGTACTTTGAATGTATTTGTGATGACAACTGACAGATTAGAAGGTAACCTCCATACATTCAACAGATCTATTTAGTTATTGCGATTAGTCGGTAAAATGTACTTTCTCATCTCATGGACCTGCCACTTGCCTTATTTGAACTAAAAAGTAACACGATTGGATTCATTTAACGACTTGCCATCCAATGGTATTTGTTCTTTAGTACAGCATCAATAACGGTGCACATGTTGTCGGACTACAATTTATGTTCCCCAAATTCTGAAGTGGTTGCCTTGTGGTGATCATTTTTCCTTCTTCTTCTTCTTACATTTCCAAGTTAATGAAAGGGTGAATGAAATGGAGGCACAATAGTAATAAAATACAAGACTATCACACTGTCTCGCATATCTTCAAAATTCTTATTGTGTTCAATTTTTCGATTATTTGCAACAGGTTGTTCTGTTTATTGATCTCCATTTGCCAAAGGAGGGTCAAGGCCACGATGGGTGCCAACAGATCGTCTAGAATTTGTGGGGTTTACTTTGTAAATATTTGTTTGTTAACTAGGTGTGTAACATTACTGTTTTGACAACGAATATAGATATACAAATCGTAGAGCAATGTTAATGCTCGCCTTAGCTTCTTATGACCGTCTTGTGGTAAGTAAACAGGAACGTGCCAGATCTAATCCTTTCTTGCTTCAGATCGCTTACCTTTATTTGCTAAAGAGTTTGCTTACCATTGGCATTGAAATGCTGTAGTCAAGTATATTTTGCATATAAATTTTGTTGTATATATTTTGGCGATCCCCTGCTTTCATGTTCTTTACCGGTGATAAGCCCCTGCTAAGTAACTACCAGCATTTTGCCCATCTCCTTGTTAGATAAATTTAGCAGGTGATGGTCACATCTGGAAATATGCTCTTTCTGTGTTGAGGATCAAATTTGGGAACACACCCCTCTCTCCCAGAACAATGCGTTTGAGCTTTTCAGGCAAAAAGTGAAGTAGTTTACCAACACTAGTCAGCTTCACTGGCAAACCTGTATCAATTATTGGAGCCGAGGACTTGTATCATGTTATTTAACATTTTTTTAGGTCACCTGAGCTTTGCTCAAGGTTTTAACATTTTCAACCTCTCAAGAACCAGTGGATGGATGTTTTTTCAAACTTGGTCAGAATCATCCTCGGTAGATGAGGCTACAAAAGTGTAAAATTGGAATTCCTACCCCAACCCCTGGGGCCAGGGCGGGACCCCAAAGGGAAAATTGTAAGCAATATTTCAAAAATCTTCTCCAGACTCAGAGGTACTAGTCATTTTCTCTGCATGGAAAGAAAGATCATCATGGGCTTTACTTACATCGTAAATTTCAGGACCCCGAGCTATTCGTTCTCCCTTGGGGAGGGGGTAAAGTTTACGATAGTTTATATAGGGAAATAACACTTTGTATATTTTGACAACTTTCTGTGGGAAATTGTTTTTACTTAGTGAGAATTATCCTTGGAGGAAGATGGTTTCAAATTGTAAAATTGAAATTCCTACCCCAACCCTAGGGGCCAGGGCGGGGCCCCAAAGGGAAAATTAACCAATATTTCCAAAATTTTCTCCTCCAGACTACTATAGTTTATATAGGGAAATAACACTTGGGTATATTTTATCCATTTTCAGAATAAAATTACTTAAAACTTAGTCAGAATCATCTTTGATGAATGCGAGTATTACTTTGTAAAATTGGGATTCCTGCCCCCTCCCCAGGGGCTAGGGCGGGGCCCCAAAGGGAACATTTACCAATATTTTCAAATTCTTATCCTTTGATGACATGACAAGTATTGTAGTTCACTTAGTTTACATGCTGATTTCCACATCACATCTAAACAATAAAATAAATCTACCAGTACCTATAATATATCTCAGGTGACCGCTAAGGCCCTTGGGCCTCTTGTTTAATTTATCATACACATTGTATGTCTTCTTGACATGATTTTAAAAATTATCATTTTCTTTGTCAAAATGTGTGAAAGCATGTTGGCCTAAATGTTACTTTTCACAATTGTGTCAATGTCTGTGTCAATGCAAATCACTGTGCAAGTCTGTTTTGTTTTTTGAAACACTTTCTACACCTTATCCAAGAACAGTAATCTACACCTTATCCAAGAACAGTAATTGTTTAAAATGTAAAACTGTACTATATGCCAGTGCAATAGAAAAACATACTGTATACCAGGATCCTTTGGCCCAGTCAAATGTTTACCCTTCACGGTAGAATCCATTTTAGCTGGGTGTTAATTTTGCCATTCACATATGTTAACACTATGTACAGTCCGTTGTATACTTAATTTCACTGACGTGATAAATTCACCCCAATTATGGAGGGGGGGGGGGGGGGGGGGGGGGGGGAGTAGTTACAGCAAAACAAATTAAAAAACATTCCTAGCATCGACTAATTTGGTACTGTTGTCCATAGGAGCAAGTTTTTGTGGCTGTAGTATATATATATACTCAATATAAATTGCTTCCATTGGAAATATACATGACATTACTTAGAGTGTCAAGAAGGGGAAAAAAATCTGAAAAGATAGCCGAGATTTTTTTCTCAAAACTCGGAAGATAACGTTACAAAGATAAAAAAAAAAATCCATCTAAGAATGGAACCTTGGATCATTCTGACAGATAATGATGACGATGTCTTTAAAGTTTGGGTAATAGACAAAGAATCAAATATTTTGGGCCAGTTATGTCATAGATATCAGCACATCGAATATCAATAAATTGGGGCATATATTCTTAAAACTATTCAATGCCCTAGCAGCAGTTCTTGGCTCAAACCAATTTAACTTGTAACTCAATGAAATCATGAGACACAATCAAAAACAGATACTCTAGATATTGAAAACAGTGTTCAGCTTAAAACCTTTCCAAATCATTGAAAAATGTGACTTTTTTTAGAAATTATCTCAGAAACAAGGTATTGGTTTAACACATTCAAAGTTTAAGGAAATGAAAATTAAGGGAGGGGGTTGATAGCTTTATGAAAATACCATATTCCATGTTTTTTGTGAATCCAAACTACACAACTACCTGGTTTGGGAGATTTGTTGAACCTGGTAATTTATGCAATACTTGCTCATGTAGTGACTGAACTATGTAGACAGGAGTGCCAGCTGAGGACAAGGTTTAATAGTCTGTGGTGGAGGTTATAAAACAATTATTTTGGCAGTCAATCTTCCTGGACAACAGATACTAGCTGCCAAAATGTTTGTACAGTACTCCAGACGAACGTCGTTTTATGCATGCACATTTCATTAAGAATTTAATTGATTTTGTCAATCTTTGTATTTTTATATCCAATTCCCAAAAATTTAATAATAAATTTCTCCTTTCTTTTGTTATTAATGCTGTCTTGTTTTGTATGTTAATGTACAGACACCATTATTGATTTCTAAAAATAATGTTTACCAGATAATCTACAAACAATCCGATTTGTAGTCGTGCAGCATGGCAAGCTTCCTTCAAATACAACCTATCTTATGTAACAGATTTGTTTTGCAAAGGCTTCAATGTTGATCAGTTAAAGGACCAATCAATGTGTGAAGATCTTGGAAACAAATGTGAAATATGAAATTGGATTATCAAGCTACATTTAGTATACCAAAAACAGTCTTACTGTAACTTTCAAATTTAAATGATTGGTCTACATAATTATCTTGTCAAAAGTCCCAAACGTTGGAAAGTCCATCTGTGTTGTCAATAGGCATTTGCAAATTGAGTTGTTGTAAAAACGTAATTCTACCTCAAACTTTCAGCTTGTCTGTCTATACAAGTTACTATATTACTAGATGTTCACACTACCCTGTCACAGACATAATTCTACCTCAAACTTTCAGCTTGTCTGTCTATACAAGTTACTATATTACTAGATGTTCACACTACCCTGTGGCAAGACAAAACCAACAAAAACGCCATGTCCTGACATAAGTATTTAATTAGGTATAAACTGTACACAATGAATGTAACATTGAATTTTTCAGTATGAAATTCCAACATTCATTTAATTATTATTTCTCAATAACAATTTGTTCAACTCCTGAAGAGCTCATTAACAATATCTATGTACATAGCTATATTCACTAACTGTGTGCATAATTACAATTCTCTTATCCATACTTGTCCTAATACAGCAAAATATTATATGAAGTACTGACTCCTAATTTTGCATAGAGCACTCTCAATTCTTTATATCAAGCACTGCAACAGTTCAAAGTAGAAACTTGTTCTGTCAACTTTGACAACCACAAATGTACAACTGTCTCAATGAAAAATAAGATCCATCACATGCAGAGTTTGATAGTTCACCAGATAAAGTTACTTCTAGTAAAACTTTCCTGTCAAATCTTCAACATCCAGCCAGCAGTTACTGCTGATGTTGATCAGTATCGTGCTACTCTTACTGACAATATTACATCCAAGTTCGCAACATCTTGCATGATTTCACCCTAGTTATCCATATTCCTGGCGACATCCAGCACTTTTCATTCTAATTTTTCCATATTACTGACAGAGTCGTATCAGCTTGTTGGTCACGATCAAGAAGTCCTCCTCTTGAAGCTCTTTCAAGGCCTCGTCAAATGCTTCGCGAGCGATGGGCTGAAATAAGACATGGAGACCGATCACAACACTGACAGTGATATAGAGTATAGGAACCTGTAAACAAAGGAATGTGACACGTCAACTTTGACTTCCAACCTCTCTCACGATAAATTTTCAAATAAGCCATTTGGATCAATATGTCTCGCCTGTGCCCCGCTTTCACCATCAATGCACATGTCAACTTTGGTCGGTCTAGCACTTGTAGTTTTAGAGAAACTAGATGCTGAAAAGGCAACGGGCGATGAAAGGTGGGCTGCATCCAGTATGTGATGCATCGGTTGAGATGTACTACCTAGGATGCAGCTATGGTTCAAGTTTGGTCGATCTAGCACTTATATTTTCAGTGAAACCAACTTAACACAACAAGTCAAAACAAGAGTACTGCGGGCAGAACAATATACGCCCGTTGAATGCCATATAGTGTCATATACTTTCCTACATTGAAATGAGATCTGCATCATTCAAAGAATGGTAAGCTGACATGCTATAAAAATGTAGGAGAAAATCTCTGGATAAAAAAATCAAATACTGAAATGAACAAAGGGCAATAACTTTTGCAAAAACCGTAGAATCAAAATTCTTTTCAAGGAAACACAACAACATATCATGATTATTTAGCCTACTAAGTTTCAAAGAAATCTGTCAAAAAATGTAGGAGGAGATTGCCGGACAAAAATCAAATACTGAAATAAGCAAAGCGCAATAACTTTTGCAAATATTGTCGAATCAAAATTCTTTTCAAGGAGGCACAACTTCATATCATGGTTATAATGCATACCAAGTTTCAAAGAGATCGGTCGAAAAATGTAGGAGGAGATTGCCGGACAAACAAAAGTTTACGACGGACGGACAACGCCATACCATTATACTCCCGTCAAATTTGACAGCGTATAAAATATTAATGTTGCCGCCGCTATTGCAGGAAGGGAAACACCTTTTGTCTCGCTTCCGCTACTTTGTGGCAGCAAGACATAAAATAGTTCAAGATATCCACTATCCAGTCCAATTGAATTCCCATCCTCGTGCAAAACATTTTACTTATCTTATTTTTGCTCAAATAAATACATGAATAAACCTATAAAACTAAACGTCTGATATTTTACGTATATCACAGAAAGACAATAATATGGAATATCTTCAGTGATGTACCCATTTGCAAATTACAGCAGATGAGTGTCTGTATACTTACGAAGTCAGATTTTTCCTTGAAATCTTCAAACAGTTTCTGGTGTTTGAGAGTGGGGACCTTGCCCTTCTCCTGGATCAGTTTCTTGAGAGCCTGTGTAACCTCGGCCTTCCTCTTGCGGGCAGCACCACTAATGCCAGTGGTTAGGATTGTGACGTCAATCTTGCCAGTAGAGGGGTCGATTGCTGCTTGCTTCAAGGCCTCCTTGTACAGTCTATCAAACAAAAATGACTGGTTACAAGCTGTGTCTTTGAAGTTTACATAATAAAATTAATACATCCTCATCAAACAATAAAGTTCTTGGATTAAAATTTCCACGAAGTGTCAAAGTATTTGAACCCGAGAGCTTTATTGTTTATTGTTTATTGTTTGATAATAAATACATGAACTCCATTCCTTGAAGGGATACTTTTATCTTTTATCCAGATAAAAGTGCATTCATCACATTCTTGTACAACTTGGTCAAGACATTCTGGTCTCCAAAATGAGTTCAAGTTAATAAACCTTCAGGATTAATGGAACAGTAGTCACTCAGTTTTTCAGATTATCATTCAGACAGTATACTTTGTTTAATTATCATTCAGGAAGAGACGTATATCGGTCACCTGTTATTCATTACTGATGGCAAACATTTATCACACTAATGACCTGCATTCCTTTGAGGTTCTAGACCTCTTGATTATTTAGAAGAATTTTTAATGGATTTATAATTGGAATTGTTACCTCTTTGCCTCTTCCACATCACACGTCTCCACAATAGAAGAGAATCTCATTTTCGCATGGGCCTCCGACAGTCTGATCAATGACTCGAGCTGACGAGGGTAGGCTGAAACCTGGCCCCGTCCACTGCCCACCTTCCTCATGTCCACGTAGGCCTGGATTAATGTCTGGCCAGACTCCTCCCCGATCTTGGGCTGGATGTAGTTTTTAGCATAGGTCATGTAGTCCTTCAGAATACTCATGTCCTAAAACACATATTTCCAAGTTAATAGCAAACAAAATTTTCAAATAGCTGACAAGTACAAACTTTGCTCTACCTGTTCAGGTGACTACAAATCTTTTTATATCTGCTCAGGTGACTAAAACTCCCTCTATAGCAATTTAGGTAAAGTACAAACACCATTAAGTGAGAACCTATTCAGATGAACATGAACCTTGTTCCATTTCACCTGTTCAGGTGAGAATATATACTTGCACTGTACCAGAATAACTTACCAGATGTTCTTCTTCCTCCTCCTTCTCTGACCGGAAGTAGAGAGACACAAGATGGCTGGCTAGTCGACGGTCAAATACTTCATCTTGTGGGTCAAGGATTAGGAAGATCAAGTCAAACCTGTAGGTCAAAGATCAACTTATGTTTAGGCAAGGTATTATCGCTCTTTATTAAATCTTCTATTGTGGTAGCTGTGCATGAAAATTGCTTGGCATTACCTTCATCACATAATTCTGACATCATTTGACTAGAATAATGTCCTGTAATTCAGGGTTTTATCACTAACAATGATTTCCTATAGCACAGAAACTGAAAATAACAGAATGTTATGACTACTTTAACATGTGACTTATTGACCTCAGAAATAATGGCATAATTCCCTTTTCCAGAAGCTGTTTTGTTCTTTCATTGGTAGCACAATTCCACAGAATCATTGGCAGTTTGTGTATTAATACAACTATATTTGTGGATACAGATGTATAATTTTTACAAGGCCAACATCGATTTCAAATTCCTTCAGATCCTTTCATAACTTTACATGCTACTTATTTCTATTTAACCGATTTCACTACCATATTTTGGTAGTGAGCTAATCAATTTGCCATCTACTGTCAATAGCCCAATTTGAAAGTGAATTTGAAAAGGTTTTTAGTCTAATTTACATTTGTGGCTAGCCCAACTGAAAGCTAAGCTAGTCAGTTTTCCAATGCCTATTGGAAAAATTACGGTAATTAACAGGTGTCTGACAATCCACTATAAGGATTGACACCTACCTCGAGAGTAGGGTATGAGGCAGTTGAATGTTCTCTGTGATGGTTTTGTTTTTGTTCCACTGGGACTCGACAGGATTGGCAGCAGCTAGGATAGACGTCCTTGCATTGAGAGAACAGATGATTCCTGCCTTGGCTATTGATAAGGTCTGCTGCTCCTGTATATACAAACCCAAAAGTCAGCAATTCTTCACAACACAGAATATATTGACAATTTTTCTGCTTTTTATAGGAAATCTTCAGTAAGAACGCCATATTTACACTAAGAGTCAAACATATAATACGATAGAACACCTGCAGGTTTTTGCTGGCCTTGACAACGTCTGTCATTGAGGACATAAAACTAAGTTAATTTTCTTCTTGTATACTTATAGGGGCTATTCCAATAAAAAAATGTCACCCACTAGCGGACATTCAAAAAATTCTATTTCAGGTGCACGGGAGTTGACAGAAAATCACTAGTATACCATGTCATAAAATGAAAAAATCACTTTTGTTCCTGGAAGCAATTACTAAAAAACAAGAGGCACAGAGGGCCTGTATCGCACACCAGTTTCTTTTGTTACATGAAACTGACATATAGGTAACTTCAGACCAAATTTGGTAACTCGAACACAAGATATTTTAACATCTCTTAAACCCTTCTCAAGATATTGTTGTTCGAAATGTGAAATTGTAATTTTAAAGCTTTTAACCCACATGGACCTTCGACTCCGGCTAGCACTTAAAGTTGACATCAACCTCATTACTGTAATTAAGAAAAAGATTTGCACTGCTAGTCTGCATAACATACCAAAGTATCATGACTAGACCAAATGCTTCTTAAGATATCGTCGTTTGGAGTTTTTTTTAAATTTGAGCCCTGTGACCTTGAAAGTAGGTCAAAGCAATACGACATAAGCTCACATGGCCCTAAATAAGTGCGGTTGAAACAGTGATTATATCTAACTCGAAAGATTTCAAATTTGAATGTAGTACGAGAGGCTGGAAATTATGTAAAATTTCCATTTTCTGCATGAGAAACAGTATACACATTCACGATAACCCGTAAAACTGTCAGGTTCCCCCCCGACGTTAAAAAGGGAAGTCCGCTAGTGGGTGACATTTTTAACTGGAATAGCCCTAATTAGTAATTTACAACCCATAACATAACTGCAATTAACCTTCCATGATTAGCTTCCTTAATCTAAATTAATAAATGATTTGATACATCAGATATATAGAAATGATACTTACCATGACTTCGTGTAGAATAGACCTGGTGCTGTCACTCATCTTGTCAAACTCGTCAATACAACATACGCCATTGTCACTGAGAACCAATGCTCCTCTGTAACACAGATCAACCATAAGTACAGCTCATTAAAGTACTATATTCATCTACTGAAAGGGAATGATTACGATATAACAGGTCTATATCATCTATGACCTGTTGTTGATCGCTTCTAATTATTTCTCCATATCAGGATGATATGCTGTAACAAATTGTAACATAACATAAACATAACAGTATATATCACCCTAAAGTGAATCAGGTTTTTTTGTCTCGGTTGTAGTTAAATTCTCCATTTATTAATTGCCCTCTACATTCCATGTCCTTTGCATACTACACACAAATCCTAACCTTGCTTAACACAATAATTCCTTTTCAAACAGCCCACAACTGTAAGTTTACAATTTAATACTTGTACTTTTATCAAATGTATTTTGTTACGGAACAAAAGTTAACTGTTGTAAACAACATGTTAACAACGGGATGTCGTTCAGCATTTTGTTTAAACATATTTTTTTTGCCAAGTAAATGGATATTAAGCTGTTTCCTTATTAAAACATTGTGATAAGGTACCAGATAAACGAAAGAGGACAGAAAAATCTTGTTCTGGGTTTTAACAAAATTCCCTTGTTAGAGGTAATCAAAGAGACAAAAATATGTCCCATACGTTTGCAAGACGAGCTGTCGTGTCTCTGGGTCCTTGGTGACGTAGGCGGTGAGACCCACTGCACTCGAGCCTTTCCCAGATGTGTACTGGCCACGCGGCACCAGGTGGTGTACATACTGCAACAGCTGTGATTTACTTGTTCCTGGGTCTCCACACAGCAGAATGTTCATCTCAGACCTGTACAGGAAAAGTGTCAAATATCAAAGGGACACGTTAGGGAAACTATTACCATGCATTAACCGATTCAATTAAAGACCAGTGAAATAATTCATTTCCATGATGGTGTATATGTAGAACATTCAATAACCATTGAAAATAACAGGACATGACACAATTATTGAGTTTCCCAAAATGTCCGAAACCAGATACTCAACTGGACATATATACACTAGTTACAGAATGGTTTTTTTCTATTGTCATTTATTGGAGGAAGAAAGTCCCTTCACATAGAAAATGGACTTGGCAGCTTCCATGCATCTCAACATGAAAACATTCATCTGTTTAATAAACGATTAGGAGATTTTTGTTTGATCCCATAAATTACCTGAATTTCCCTCTGCCTGTATTGGAGAAATCTTTTCTACATCCCCCAAACAGTTGCAACAGGATTCCTTTCTTTACGTCCTCATTTTCGTAAATACTTGGGGCTGTAATTTAAACACATTTCTAATGAAGTCTATTGAATCTCTCCAACTTAATTCCTGATAAAGCACCTATAGAATATATTCATTAAAATCTTGTTGAATTTATTAACACAAGATTGATTTCAATATCAATGAGGCTTGAGCTCTATATTTCACTTCTATTCTATGGTAGTTTCAGAAAATACACATGAACAAATTCTAAAAACTTTTTATATTTTGATATTTTTACCATTTTGTTCAGCAGTTTGACACTGATGGGATGTAACCATTCAACATACCCTCAAACTTCATTAATGGCTGATAGACAGAATGTTAGTTGTTTATTGTAAAAGGATTTTCATATTTGGGACTTTTGTCCACATCGTATTGAAATTTCCTTTTCATTTAAATACACAAATTTAAAGTGTGTTTTAGATTTGCTTTACACCATCACTGTCAAACAATGTACATACCAATTGCCCTGGCTAATCTTTCATATATGTCCGATTTTTTCGACAATTCTCTCAGGAAATCAATTCTTTCTTGGCTTATCACAGCTTCTTTACTAGAAAAGATATGATTATTACATTAACAACAATCAACTGACATCAATTGAAATTATAAGAACAAGAAGCAGCTTAAATTTTTATTTTATGAGACAGAATACTGGCTGTGGATACAATGCTACTGGCTGTTGATACAATGCTACTGGCTGTTGATACAATGCTACTGTCTGCGGATACAATGATATCATTGTAAAAAGCACAAATTTGTGTGATAAAAATTGTACACAAGCAGTCTCTCATTCAACAAGCAAATTCGTGGAATGTATATCCCCTGCTTTCAGGTCATATTGTAGGTATGGTTTAAACATGCGAGTACTGTGCTGTTGAGACATAATGTATAGTCTTGAACTCGACGAATTATTAAGTGGAAACCGCAGATAATGCCTACGCCAAATGGAGTCCGATTAAAGTGGTTGTCAAACTTGGCTGAGCCCTTAATGCGTTGAACCCTATTGCCAAGTTTGAAGAAAATAGGTTAACATTTGTTGCAGTTATTGCACGGAAACGAAGTGTGACAGACAGACTGACTGACAGACGGACAAACCAATATTAATATCCCCCTGTTTCGGTGAAAGCGGGTAATAAAAACTTTACCTTGGATACACTGATCAAATTTACTGTGTACAGTTATCAACCCCCTCAAGCAGGATTAATTGGAAATATCCCATCGTCATATCCTAAAAAGACAAACTTACTGTCCGTCATCGTCAACAGTGCACTCCCTCAGTCTGGTTGCATCTAGCTTGCGGAAGTGTACAGTGTCAATGTGCGTCTTGTAGACCGACTTGACATTGCGGAGGCGGGGATTAACACGTAGAGGTGTGGCACGATAGATCCCAGTGATGGTAACTCTATCACCAGGCTGAACCTTGTCGACGAGGTCGTTGTGGGCATACAGTGACACCGTGTGTGGAGTCTGACCTGGGGGCATGTCGTCTGAAACATAAAAATGCATCAGGACTTTAATTTTCATCACTGTCAAACAAACTAGAACATGCCTTCTGTATTTCAAATTGGTTAGATCCTTTGCTACTTCTACTGAAGCAGCAGGTAGACAGGTGGCCATTTGTCCCTGGGCTACTCAAGATACAAATGCATGGAGAAGAGATGTTTGTAGACAGAATTGTTTCATTTGAATTTTCTGGATCAACTGATTGGAGATTGATCTTGTAGATAATGATTAGGGGAGAAAATATATATATCAAGCATGAACATCCGTGGAAGTAAATTTGCAATATGAAGTCATTTCTCAACATTTATTTTACATATCTTAGGCCAAAGAAATGTGTTTTCTGTTTCTGCCTGAATAAAAATAGGGTGGGTATTAGTAGGTAGGCAAATGGTTTTTGTTTAAAACTTTACATGCAGCAGCTAGAGTTCTGACTTAAGCAGAGCTTATCACTTAATAATGCCCACAACATTTTTCTTTTTACATAATCAGAGTGAGCAGATATCAAACTGAAGTTGGTGAACAAGGTACAAAAATGTGAGTTTATCTTACCTGTACATGATATAAAGATTTACCTGTACCAGCTATTAAGATTTACCAGTACCAGATATAAACATTTACCTGTACATGATATTAAGATTTATCTGTACCAGCTATCAAGATTTACCAGTACCAGATATTAAGATTTACCAATACCAGATATAAAGATTTACCAGTACCAGATATAAAGATTTACCTGTACCAGATATAAAGATTTACCTGTACCAGATATAAAGATTTACCTGTACCAGGTATTAAGATTTACTTGTACCAGATATTAAGATGTAACTGTACCAGATATTAAGATTTACCAGTACCAGATATTAAGATTTACCTGTACCTGATATAAAGATTTACCTGTACCAGATATAAAGATTTACCTGTACCAGATATAAAGATTTACCTGTACCAGATATTAAGATGTAACTGTACCAGATATTAAGATTAAAAGAATTTTTCACCACCTTGTGGATGAGATAGGGGAATCTCAAATTGAGGGGGAAGATAACTTAAGCTGCCAAACATGAGGCTTTCAGAGTTTTTGGCAACTCAAGAATCTTTCCCCAGGGTTGAGGTTTCCCCCATATCTCCCCAAGAGCGTGAATGATTCTCTCACCCAGTTGACTCTTGACATACATAATGCAATGTTGACCTCACAGCTTTTAGCATGGACATGACATTAATGCATTGTTGATGTGATGTCATTGTATTGCCGACGCAACATCATGTAATAGTTTTGACAGGGGAATCCCTCCATCTCGGCCCTATGGTGATACAAGGATATCTTGCACCAGGAAAAGTGTGGACAGATCTTTCCAGGTTAAAAGAAAAGAATCTTAACTGTAACATGTATAATTGAAAAGTTGAATTTTTCATTCAACTTACCTGGAGATTCCTGGAGTTTGATCATCTGTTTGTCGGTGAACTGGGAGCGATTATGAACCATAGCAAAGGAGTGGTTTGTATTGCAGTTGGTACAGAGTGTTGGCTCTGCGATACGTCCACGGTCAATCTCTACAGAAGCAGTATTAGCACACACATAGCACTTAAAGAAGGCCTCTCTCATCTCTGGGATCAACGAAGAGGTGCGGGTCACCATACCACTTATTGTGATCAGCTGGTCGATGTCTAAATAAAGACAAAATACATAATTGATTATATTGATAAACTGTTGTATCAGCTGTAAAGTGTAGTTGTATTTGATACCAGCTTCTACTAGGAAAATTAAGACATAAAATGATGGAACAAATTATTTCCAAATACTTTTCCCCCCTTTGAATTGGGATGTTTTACCTATCCGTTGGGATACTATATTAAGCAACAATAAACAGTAGCATTGAACTAAATCACATTTACAACTATAAATTACTTTACAGTTCAGCAAGGTGGCATTGTGAATGTTTTGCGGGTTTTTTCCTTTCGAAAAAAAAATGATTACAAGAAATTAAAACACAAATCTTACCTTCTGGATTGAGCGAGCGCATATTCTTGGTTTTTTCTGCATTGTAGGGTCGTATTTGAATCTGGTGCTCTAGAACAGTGTCTGGGTATCTATCAAAGAACATTTCGTTGATGGCCATGTCAAATGTGGGAATGACTTCCTGAGGGTAGGCAATCAGCTGTCGGTACAAATCTGGATCAAAGTCGCGCAAGTGGGCACAGTTGATCCCCAGGTACGGTTCACCGATCACATTAACCTACATGTACAGACACCACAAAATTACACTTATTATACATGATCCACATGTACGGTTCGCCAATCACATTAACCTACAGACACCAAAAAAATTACACTTCATTTACAAGAACAGTTGATCCCCAGATACAGTTTACCATTCAAATTATCTGCCACCACAAAACTTATACTACATCATATAAAAACAGTTAATTCCCCAGTTACAGCTTACCAACCACAGTGGCTTGATACCACAAAACTTATACTACATCATACATAAAAACATAATTGTAGGTACCCAACTATAAACTCTACGTTTGTAATTTCAACTCGTACTTGATCCCACATATTGGACTATCATACATTATGTGATCAAGGTCAATACTTCTATTTTTCAGTTTTTAATGATACCTGTGCCTGTCTTAGTGGGAAAACATTCTGACTGAACAAAGATTTAGGATTATAGCTTCAATGAAGTTTCTGGATATTTTTATTGGGAGTGAAATTTGTTTAATTTGTGTAAATTTTCCTGTAGAAATTCACTGCAACTATTAAACTTGTGTCATTGCCAGCTTGCTTACATTGAATAATAAACAGGAATTTACTTACCTCCTCCAGACGTTGTAGGTAATGGGGTTCGTTTATATCCATTCCAGAAAACCCTTCATCTTCAGACACATTTCTGTCTATAAAGCGTGCAATAAAGCGACGGAACTTTTCTTTACAGTGACTGACAACAACGTCGGTACCCCAGATCACAAGCTGTGGCCCAGCGTTTGGGTCACTGGTGATTTCGCTGGTGATACGAGTTGGCTCCTATAATACATAAACATATACAAACATCAGGAACTAACTGGAAAATTTCAGGCTTTGTGACATCCAACAGCTCTATTCAGTGTTTGCTTACAATGAATTTATTACAATTCTTTTTGCTTTTTAGGGAAGGCTAAATAAATAGTTGTTGCATACTTGCATCTCAAATATTCCGAGTTTATAGAGTATGTAACAATAAAGCTATACAGGAAAATACATGCCACCTAAAATAAAGTGCTGGAGGACCTTACAAGACTACATGAAACGAGGAAAATATATGAACGGGTAGGAGATTAACTGCATTTACTGTTCTGTTGTGGATTTCAATATGATGTCAATTAAGACATAGATACTGAGGCCACTTGTATAAAACATCTTAAAGTTAAGGAAAATCTCAAGCAATGTATTGTCTATGGGAAATCTTAGACTTGAGAAAATCTCAAAGAGTTTAGAGATGTTTTATACAAGTGGCCCCTTGTATAAAACATCAGATCATTTCCAAATACAACACGTACACTAGGATCTGATCCTCCAATGGTCACTTGTCTCAGCTTACGATCACTGCGAACATCTGGCCGACTGCGGATCGGAGTGTTTAGTACTCCTGGTGTCCTGGGGCCACCCCTTGAGCTGGGAGTTCCATAATTCAATGGAGAACTCAGGTCAATTTCACTTGTTGGGGCTGCAATGTGAAAGCAATATTGCCATTTATTATATAGTTGACTGGCTACTTCCATAACACAGTGGAACTTCTCTAAACATCGCCACTTCCTTCAGTATCAACTTTAATAGAAGTGAGCAGTTTTGAGCAGGATCAGTTTAGGAAAGTTCCACTGTACAATATAGTGGTGGTCTTTTTTCTCCATTTTGTACACCAGTTAACTGCATCAGATGTATAAAGTCTCAATAGAACTGTTTTCGCTCTCAACAAAATGAACTATTACCTAACAATGGTTTAGCTTTTTGTATATCAACTAGCAATTGGAAAATATATTTTCCACAATTTGCAAGGATTTAAATTCCATGACATCTACATACCCCCAGCTCTGGACTGTGGTGGACTAGAGAACAGAGACGACTCCTGTTGGGCCCCAGAGGAGGGAGAGGAGGGTAAAGGGGCCAGATCAGCCCCTGGAGAACTGTCAATTTTCCTGTCCTTCTTTGGAGGGGATGTGGCATCATCTTTTGACGAGGCTCTCTGCTTCCTTGCACTACCTTTAGTGGAAGCTGTTCAAATTACAAATAGACAGTTTCTTACCTCTTAACAAAGCAATCATCAAATATTCACTCTTAACAAAGCAATCATCAAATATTCATAAATTCCAAAAGTTCTAAAATATGCTTTTCTTATATATCTACTTTTCTTATGTCTATTTTAAGTCATTAAAGCATCCAGTATGCAAACTTTTCATTTGTAACCGGCTACCAAGATCACACCTAATTCGAAATATATTTAAGGACCAGATTTCTTACCGATTTCTTTGTATTAAACCAGTGTTCTCCAGAAATTTAAAAGTATCAGGTAAATAATTAAAAGTACACCTTTTTTCAGACTCAATGTAACTAAATCAAACAATACTCTCGTACAGTAATATTTTCACATAGAATTCAGGCTGTTGAAAGGCTACTTTCCCTTTAATTTTTCAGCTTTATTTTCCCAAAACCAATGCAAAAACACTTCAATTCCCCATATAATAATTTATGCAAGTGATATTTCCCAAATCACAACTTCACAAGACATAGGCCCCTGTGTGAAAAGGAGCAGAAAAATTACTGCATAACAAAATTCATAGATTAACATTTAATGGATTACTCGCTGACTTCTTAAAATGATAAGTCTTTCATACAATTAGTTACACTGATTAAAGCAAGATACTAACGTGTGGAAGCTCCAGACCTTGTACTGCGCCTTGATGCTGCAATGTATCAAACTTGATTAATTTTCATTTCAGAAAAGAAAATTTCTCAAGCAATTCAATTTGTTTGGTTATTCAGGGACAACCATTATTAATTTTATGAATTTGGCATTGTAACATTATTACACACATACATGCAAATTATGCAATACAAGAAAATAATAATCTTTGTTAACTCATGATCAGGTTTACACGTCGCCTGTACTACTCGACTTACGTGTGACTGGATCTGTTTCTTCTGGCGTTGGACTGCTGGTCTCTTCCCTTCCCCTTTTGCTCTTTCTTCTTGGGGTCACAGGGGAAGACATTATGATAATCTGCAATCCAAAAAGCAATAGTTCATCATAAACATTTAAACAGTTATAGAATCAGTTTTAATTTGCATGTTTAATTTTTTTCCAGCACAACTTTGGTTGAGAACTTTTGATTTTTCTCTCAATGTTTATGATTTTCCTTGCATGATGATGTTTAATCATGGAAATCGGTTAACAAAACGAGTTGATTTGGAAAGTACTCCCAATTCAAGTTTAAAACCCGAATTAAAATTTATTCTCAACAGAGTTGAGATCATTTAACGGAAATATCTGTTTACATGAATAGAAATGTCCCGCTTTACTTAAAAATGTTAAATAGGCAATCTGGAATGAACTCATGGACGATTTAAAACTAATCAGGTCTCCGAAGGTTCAGTTTTCCTAAGAGGGATTATACCAATATCAACACTCTTTGTCTTATCAGTTGACATGTTATGCATCATAATCACGGTGTAAACGGCATCACGTAAAACGGTTAGATATAAATCTGATACTGATTACATAAAATCATTTGATTACCTGTTGTTTTTTCTGTGTTCCTTCTCCCTTTCGCTAACACCGGAGCCAACAATAAACTTTGTCACGTGTTCGTAAAACGCGGGAAAATTTCCTTTCGGAATATCCTCTGGAAAATATATATTTTACGACTTTCGCTAGATCTACTACACATTTGTCACTATAATCCTACTTTTTTTCATTAAACAAGACTTCATTTGATTCGTTTTCCGGTGAGTATATCATTTATTTGTTGATTCAGTTTTAAAAATGTTTACAGCAATGGATTTGTTTTTGATATAAACACATGTTGTTCACTTCCGGTTATCTTGAAACACGATGATGACCACCAAATCTTTATCGGCACTTAAGTTCATACGTTGTTTAAAAGTGGCACCAGTTTGTTCAACCCACTCTCACTTTCACAATGCATTACAAAACAACTATTGCACTGGCTCTAGCAATGGAGACGAGAATGATAAGTCGAAAAGGAAACCATATGATGTTGACCCAAGGTCTTTGAAATCATTTGTCAGTGACATGTACACAGGTCAATCGGATGAAGCAGTTGAAGTATTTCCTTCTGATGAAGTTGATCTCAATGAACTTGCAAATACTAAAAAGTCACACACAGACAAGTCAAATATAGCTAATAGATCCGGAACTGATCCTTCACTGACGTCAGTTCTGATGTTTCCAGGTCAGGGAAGTCATTTTGTCGGAATGGGTAAAAAACTCCAGCACATTCCAAGCGCTAGAGACGTTTATGACCGCGCTAGTGGTATTCTGGGATATGACTTACTGGAGCTCTGTTTAAAAGGACCACACTCAAAGTTGTCAAAAACTGAGTTCTCTCAACCTGCAATTGTGGTTACTTCATTGGCAGCAGTGGAAAAACTACGAGAAGAGAAACCAGAGGTAGTCATTATCACCTGCGCCAATCCTACTGGTGTCACGCTGTTTCACCCTAAATCCTCGTCACACCAGGATATTTCGCCCTCAAAATATATCCATGGTTAAACTTTTTATAGCCTGTTCAGTGCTGACTCAATACAGTCTCATTAAAAAAATGCCTCCTTAATCATTTTTATTACCGTAGCAGAAATTTGTTATTTTATGAAATTGTAGCAGAACTGAGTTGATCAAAAGCAACCAGGTACCTCAATATTGGTAGAGCATCCATCTAAAGTTCTGAGGGTTGCGGTTCCAACCCTGGTATGGCCAATGTATCTCTCTTCCTCCTGTTACAATATTGGATGTACACTTTGCAAGGGGATACCAGAACAAGGGTCGTAAATAGCGTTGACTTCGGGGCAAAAAACTTAGGAAAGGAGGAAGACATGCAGAGAGAACTGGACTGGGTCATTCATAATTTATATTATAGAGTTAGGTTGATCCTTTCTTATTGAAGCCATTAACTTCCGTGATACTACAGAATGCCTGACATTCTTAGTATTAACCACTGCGTGGCGGTGTCCGCTTCAGCATCAAAATTTCCAGTGAAGTTGATACATCACACTGTCAGTAGAAGTAGCACAAAACATGTTTTCAGTCATGTTTGTAAGTTTAGTTTATTGCTAGAAACTTTGATAGATACGATGTCCGGCTAAGTGTTTATTTACAAATATGATTTCACTACGAAAATGAAGAGAATGACCGATAAATATATAAGGGGCATGTCATGAAGAAGATGGAAAAAGTCTTTGTTCTGAATGCTGAAATATGTAATTTAAAAGTTCAAATGCTGAACACAGTTTTCTTCACTTTCACAGCTGATTGTTTCTGTCCTCTTGCTAAATTTGAGTTTCAACAATCTGTTACATTATCAAGAAGTTCAAATGTAAATGAACATAGACAACTATTATCCTAATTTTTACAAACCCATCCAAATACACAGTTCAAAGTTTAAATTGAACATCATTAGTACTGTGACTGCTGTGAATATTGGCATGGCCTGTCCAACTAAATTTCGAAATTTTAAGTAAAATCTGCTTCTTCAGCTCAACTATGTGATATTTTGTTTTATAAACTTTTGGCTATTAAATATATATAATGATATTCAATATATACAAAAAAAAAACCTGCCAAAGTCGAAACAAGTTCGTTTTGTGCTTTATTTCATTAATTTAGTTGAGTAAGATAGAATTTTTGCCGTGAAAAAGGCAGCGAATAAAACTTCCCTTATTTTAACCTCAATTCCCTTAAAATGATTGTAAAACTCACAGATTGGTGTCCAAGAATTCTGGCATGTATTAAACCTGTGGTACAAAATTGTATAACTTAACTGAAAATTTGTCTCTGTTGATAGGGTTAATTTTTGTGGAAAAAAATATGATACTTAATTTCAATTGATTTTATTTAACATACCATTACATTATGTTCACTTGTACAAACCAATATCAATAGTTCCTATTTATACAGAAAAACTAAATGAGTATCGAAAGCCATTAAGCAAAACAATGGATTATGTTGTAGCCCCTGTCTATATACTTAATTATGTGTTGTTACAAAACATATACTGTACCTGTACATTATTCTAATCTTCATTACAAATATAACCAATCTGTACAGTAAACGTCTTTTTATTTTTAGGCTGTCGACGCTTGTATTGCTGCTATAGGCTTCAGCGTAGGGGAGATAACAGCCCTGATGTTTGCAGAAACTCTGTCTTTTGAAGATGGTAATATGATTAGTAGAAAAGAGTTCTGACTAGTACAATATTATTTTTATTAAACAAAACTATTGTGAGAGAGTTCACATTATATGAACTCTCTCACAATAGTTTTTTTTAATGAAGTATATTATATATACTAAATATTTTGTACTGATATATATACAGTGCTTCTTATTGATGGTAGTATAACCTGAAAGTACATGCACTTGTGTTGTCATTGGTCTTGCTGTTGTTGGCTTTTGTTCATATGCTTTTTTAACGTTTCTGAATGGTCAGAGATGTTATCACCTAACTAACCAATCGGAACGCTTCACTGACCAGCAAACTCTTTATATGAAGTAAGCACAACTTCTGACACTTCAAGAAGCAACACTGTCCAGCTTAACTGAACTCCCATTGAATTAACAATAGGAGAATTGGGAATGCTCAAGGACTGGTATAACTAGTTCACAGAAAATAGAAAAGAACTATGAAGTTTTGCGGTCTAGAGGTCGAGGTCAATGTGGAATAGTTTCCAGTGCAATACATTTCAGACCCTATCTTTATTAGTTTAAGCCCACCATCATCTGATGGTGGGCTATTCAAATCGCCCTGCGTCCGTGGTCCGTGGACCGTCCGTAAACAATTCTTGTTATTGGTATTTCTCAAGAAGTACCAGAGGGATCTTTCTCAAATTTTATATGCAGGTTCCCCTTGGTCCTTAGCTGTGAAGGGCAACTTTTGAAACTGATCGGATAAACAACATGGCCGACAGGCAGCCATCTTTGATTTTGATATTGAAAGTTTGTTATCGCTATTTCTCGGGAGGTAACAGAGAGATCTTTCTCAAATTTTATATGTAGGATTATGTAGGTTACCCTTGGTCCTTAGATGTGCAGGCAACTTTTGAGACTTTTCCTTCCTTCCTTCCGGCTTTCCTTACACTATCTTGGCCGGGCTCTATCTCCTACACTTTTTGTCACTGGAACTTCATACTTGGGTTTTGGGTTCACCTTGGTGAGGCGGTGTGTCGTGAATTAAAAGTAGGTCACTCTGACCTACTGGTGGGCTATTCAAATCGCCCTGCGTCCGTGGTCCGTGGACCGGCCGTAAACAATTCTTGTTATTGGTATTTATCAAGAAGTACCAGAGGGATCTTTCTCAAATTTTATATGTAGGATTATGTAGGTTACCCTTGGTCCTTAGATGTGCAGGCAACTTTTGAGACTTTTCCTTCCTTCCTTCCGGCTGTCCTTACACTATCTTGGCCGGGCTCTATCTCCTACACGTTTTGTCACTGGAACTTCATACTTGGGTTTTGGGTTCCCCTTGGTGTGGCGGTGTGTCGTGAATTAAAAGTAGGTCACTCTGACCTACTGGTGGGCTATTCAAATCGCCCTGCGTCCGTGGTCCGTGGACCGTCCGTAAACAATTCTTGTTATTGGTATTTATCAAGAAGTACCAGAGGGATCTTTCTCAAATTTTATATTTAGGTGCCCCTTGGTCCTTAGCTGTGTAGGGCAACTTTTGGGACTGATCTGATAAACAACATGGCCGACAGGCAGCCATCTTGGATTTTAATATTGAAAGTTTGTTACCGCTATTTCTCAGGAAGTATCAGAGGGATCTTTCTCAAATTTTATATGCAGGTTCCCCTTGGTCCTTAGCTGTGAAGGGCAACTTTTGAAACTGATCGGATAAACAACATGGCCGACAGGCAGGCATCTTGGATTTTGATATTGAAAGTTTGTGACCGCTATTTCTCAGGAAGTATCAGAGGGATCTTTCTCAAATTTTATATTTAGGTGCCCCTTGGTCCTTAGCTGTGCAGGGCAACTGTTGAGACTGATCGGATAAACAACATGGCCGACAGGCAGCCATCTTTGATTTTGATATTGAAAGTTTGTTATCGCTATTTCTCGAGAAGTATCAGAGGGATCTTTCTCAAATTTTATATTTAGGTGCCCCTTGGTCCTTAGCTGTGCAGGGCAACTTTTGAGACTGATCGGATAACCAACCTGGCCGACAGGCAGCCATCTTTGATTTTGATATTGAAAGTTTGTTATCGCTATTTCTCGGGAAGTATCAGAGGGATCTTTCTCAAATTTTATATGTAGGTTTATGTAGGTTACCCTTGGTCCTTAGCTGTGCAGGCAACTTTTGAGACTTTTCCTTCCTTCCTTCCGGCTGTCCTTACACTATCTTGGCCGGGCTCTATCTCCTACACTTTTTGTCACTGGAACTTCATACTTGGGTTTTGGGTTCACCTTGGTGTGGCGGTGTGTCGTGAATTAAAAGTAGGTCACTCTGACCTACATTTTGACCTTTGACCTGCATCAAAGAAAAAGTTTGTCTGGGCTCTATCTCCTACACTACTAGTCACTGGAACTTTATTCTTGGAGTATGGGTTCATCTTGTTGAGGCGCTGTGTCGTATATCAAAGTAGTTCACTCTGTTTTTGACCAGGTTACTGAGACTATTCCTTATTGAATACAGTGTGTCTGTCAAACATTCATATATAGAATTAGTTCTGCACAAATTTATCATCTGTGCATTTCACATTTGGTGGGGGACTATAATTTGCTGAATTGTCTTGTTTTATACATTTTACTTGAGATTTGTGATTAATTGATCTATTGATCAAAATAAAACCAACCTGCACACATGAACAAAAGAACAAATCAGGGGCATCATGTATGAAAACACTTCAGTGTTTAAATTAATGCAAGTCTTTTTTTCAGCTGCATAAATCTTCTGACATGAATATTCTTGTTTCATGATAACCATATGAATCCACTTCTTCACATAATGTTGTCTCTGACCATTATCACATTGTTTGCCCTTTTCATCAGGAATCAGTCTGATCAGGTTAAGAGCCAGGGCTATGCAGAGGGACTCGGAAGTGGTCTCCAGTGGCATGATGACAGCTATGTGTGATATGAACACCTACCTTAAAGAAGCCATGTTAGCTGCTCGAGAATACTGCAAAACTAAAGCAGGGATTGAGAATCCTGTGTGCAACGTGACGGCCTTCGTGGGAACAGATATTAAAGTTATAGCTGGTCATACTGAGGTATAAACCTACTAACCTTAACATCCTGTATACAGCTATCATATAATACAACCTACTGTATACAGCTATCATATAATACAACATACTGTATACAGCTATCCTATAATACAACCTACTGTATACAGCTATCCTATAATACAACATACTGTATACAGCTATCCTATAATACAACATACTGTATACAGCTATCATATAATACAACATACTGTAAACATCTATCCTATAATACAACATACTGTATACAGCTATCATATCTTATAACATACTGTATACAGCTATCATATAATACAATATGCTGTATACAGCTATTATATAATACAACCTACTGTATACAGCTATCATATAATACAACCTACTGTATACAGCTGTAATACAATTCAACATACTGTATATAGATGTAATACAATACAACATACTGTAAACAGCTGTAATACAACACAACATACTGTATACAGCTGTACTACAAAACAACATACTGTATACAGCTGTACCACGATACAACATACTGTATACAGCTGTACTACAATACAACATACTGTATACAGCTGTACTACAAAACAACATACTGTATACATCTGTACCACGATACAACATACTGTATACAGCTGTACTACAGAACAACATACTGTATACAGCTGTACCAAGATACAACATACTGTATACAGCTGTACTACAAAACAACATACTGTATACATCTGTACCACGATACAACATACTGTATACAGCTGTACTACAAAACAACATACTGTATACATCTGTACCACGATACAACATACTGTATACAGCTGTACTACAATACAACATACTGTATCTATATGTAATACAATACAACATACTGTATATATATGTAATACAATACAACATACTGTATATAGTTGTAATACAATACAACATACTGTATATATATGTAATACAATACAACATACTGTATATAGATGTAATACAATACAACATAATGTATATAGATGTAATACAATACAACATACTGTAAACAGCTGTAATACAAACAACATACTGTATATATATATGTAATACAATACAACATACTGTATATAGATGTACTACAATACAACATACTGTATACAGCTGTACTACAATACAACATACTGTATACAGCTGTACTACAATTCAACATACTGTATACAGCTGTACTACAATACAGCTGTACTACAATACAACATACTGTATATAGATGTACAACAACTGGGATCATCATAGAGTGTTCAAATCCTGAAATTTACACAATCACAATTACAGAAAATTTTAGAAATATCAACAATAATGAAACATCTTTTTAACATGATATTTTCTGTTGTTTTAGGCTTTGGATTTCATGCAGGAAACTCAAAAAGACTTCGGAATTCGCCATTTAAAAAGGCTCAATGTAAGCGGTGCGTTTCACACAAGCCTTATGAAAGAAGCATCAAGGGATGTTGCGAAGTCATTGAAGGACAAGAAGTTCAATGTTGGCAAAGTACCGGTGTATTCTAATGTGACAAGCAATGCATACTCAACCAATCATAAACAGATAAAGCGAAATGTATATGAGCAAATTGTTAAGCCCATTAAATGGGAACAGATAATAAAGAACATTTACCAGCGTTCCCCGGGAACTGCCTACCCAAATACGTACGAGGTTGGACCAAGGAGATCACTAGGTCACCTTCTGAGATCAACAGACAAAAAAGCTGTGAGAAAGTACAAAGCCGTGGATGTGTAACAGCCATTTCCTATTAAAGTTTTCTGTAACCTTGACAACAGTCTTGATTGCGAGATTTTTTTACAAATGAAATGTAGTGTGTTAAACTTTCGTCAGTAAATAGACATATTTAATAAATGATAGTGCTAGTAGAGGATAGTACGAATAGAATTCATTGGTATTACTAGAGGCTGCAGACAGTACTATAGGTAGCAGAGTACAGTAGAAATGGCTTGACCCTAAAAATAAAGGGCATGTCTCGGATAAACATGGATAGCGGATTCATCCTGCACAACACACCTACATATATATTTATAAACTTTATTTTGAATAGTTGTTTTTTAGAAGAATTAATATTTTTTCAAAAAGTGATTTCCCCAGATTTGGGACTTGTGAAAACCATGGTAACCACAGGAAGTCCACTATAATACATGGACTAGAGGAATACAGTATAAAGACAACCCAAACTTGTGAATGGGGCTAAAAGTGGTCAAATTGGCTAAAAATTTCATCATTCTACTCCAGATCTCACTTTGCCAGAATCAAATACTCTTCAAGAATGAACAGGCTTAAGGACGCATCCCACCTTATTTAGGAGGGGGTAAAGTTCACAAGAGGTTATTAAGGGGAAATTACACTTTTTCAGGTAATATAAGGAAACGGTACTTTTTGGATATATGTTTTACTTATTGGGGAATCATTCAAACTTGTATGGAACTATTAGGATATCAATGCTGTTTGATGGTATGAAAATTTATACCCTAACCGTTTCCATCACCACCACTTGCACAGCTGATCTCAGCCACTATCCATACACATACTACCACCCATCACCACCACCGACATCTGTACTCTAGTCACAAGATAAGTTTCATTAAGCCAATAGTGTCCTAACTGATGAGGTACTGTAGGCCGGTGTTCAAGCATAAACAACTTATCAACACAAGTGTCATTCAATGGTTTTTATTCTAAAAAATTCTTAAATAAAATTAAGGAAGATGTGAATTTAATAAACTACATTAAAGAATAACATAAATTTTGAGTAAACTTAAATCTACAACAACAACATCAACAATACAACAAATATTTGTATACCACCACACTGTCAACAATGCAGACTTTGCTGTCAATCTAAGGGGGCAGTAAGGGGGGCAGTAAGGGATTCAGGTCTACAATTATAGGTCAAAGTAGTCTAATTCTTCGTACATTCATGATCAATTATTAATTAAAGCAAAAAATTGATAAATACTAATAATGTCAGTATTGCAATGTATAATTGATGTCCAACAGACTAATGATCATCAGTAACTATTAACACAAGCTACAAGCACTGTAGCTGATCCAGGCAATATAGTAAATCACCTTTATACTTTCAAGAGATAAATCTTAAAAACTTCAATATATATATATATACTGTATTCTACAAACAAAATACATGTAAGTATTTTATATCTATTTAAAAAAAATATATAGCCATGAACATGTAGAAAATGTCATTATAGCATATAGTATACAGTGCAATGAAATAGGACATCAAAATAAGTATATATCTGTTGGTATAAAATGTATATTTATAGCCCTGGATAAAAACCTAATTGTAAAATAGAGTGGGATATCACTACCTTTAAATAATAGTATAGTTAAACTATCACCCTAATGTCACGTTGCATTCCTCTCTATCTTTGTCTAGTAAAACTATCTCCCTAATGTCATGTTGTATTCCTTTCTATCTTTGTCTAATAAAACTATCACCCTGATGTCATGTTGTATTCCTCTCTATCTTTTTCTAGTAAAACTATCCCCCTAATGTCATGTTGTATTCCTCTCTATCTGTGTCTAGTAAAACTATCCCCTAATGTCATGTTGTATTCCTCTCTATCTTTGTCTAGTAAAACTATCACCCTAATGTCATGTTGTATTCCTTTCTATCTTTGTCTAGTAAAACTATCACCCTGATGTCATGTTGTATTCCTCTCTATCTTTTTCTAGTAAAACTATCCCCCTAATGTCATGTTGTATTCCTCTCTATCTTTGTCTAGTAAAACTATTTAACAGTCCAGTCTTCAAAATATCGCCTGAAATGCATACCATTTTTACCTGTGATAAATCTATCTTTTGGATGAAGCTGACATGCTCTGATTAGATAATAGATAATACAGATTATAGAATGCTACAGAAATGTACATAGACGTCATTTTTAAGGCTTAAAACCAGCCACTTTTTTGTTATCATGTTACTTCTTATGCAGTGAAAATATTTCTGTCATGTAGTGTAATATGACCTTTCAATTGTGACATCACAGATGATGGTCACATATAGTGTCACATGTAAAATGGCGTCATCGAAAACTTCATAATGGTCAGGTAAAAAAATCAAATACACATTAGTCATGTGAGGTTTATAAAAACTTGTCCAAAATGTTACATTTAGCTCAGACTAATTTTAAAAACTGTTTAACTCACTAAAATAAAAATACCTAAAATCCTTCCTTTGTCTTATGACTAAGGCTCCCCTAGGTTTATCACAGATAAAATCAGGTAAATAGAAGTTTCTCATCAGGTCATGAAGTTTAAATAAGTTTGTCAGTTTCAAGAGTATGTTGTAATTGAAAAGCTATAACAAACATTGAAGGAGTTTATCATTGGTATGTATTAGGGATGTGGAAATTCTACCAGACTTGAGGGTATAATTAAAGTTTATTTGTGATAAAACGTGGTGTCTGGCCAAGAACACAGCTTGGTAGACGTTACAGTAGAAATGTTATCCTGTAATTTCTGTTATTCACATCATCTTCTATAGGTTAACCAGCATATTTCTGTAATGATGAAGACAAACAGCTGTAATGGTTTATGAATCAACAGGTATACATATGCATTCATAAAAATAACTTGACTAACTTAATATTATTCCTCTCAATAATTTATTATCAGGGCTCATATGAAAAGGTTATCTGATAATAATTGTTGACTTTCAGATGATCATAAATCAATCTTGAAAGATGAAGACTTTTGAAATATAACAGAAAAATGCCTGCAGTAACCAACTATTAACTGAAAAACACTACAGTAACCTGTGTTTTGTTGTACACCACTGACTGATTGCAAATACAGTGTTAGCCAAAATGAAATAGGAAAAGAACATTTGATGCCATTTAAGTTACAACTCTGATGTAAAAAAAATCTTCCATATATATACTTTCCCACATTCAAAACAGAAACAGAAGCAATATGATTGGGAGACTGTGTCTGAAATTGGGAGTATCCAATCTAAATTGGCAATGAACTTGCACACAGTAGCTTCTACTTTGGTTTTTTGTGAGCCAAAACATATTTGGTTCCTAAGTAAACCTTCCATCACAACGAAATATTCTAATTGTGTAGCATATGGTGACTTGAACAACAAAGTTTTTGAGATTTTCAACTAAGGGAGATAAATAGCTTTGAAGGGAGACAACCTGTGGAAGAAGTGCATGACATGAACACATTCTTATGATTTGTACACAAAAAGGCACAGCATACTTGATCAACATAGAATATTTACAGCATTGCTTCATAAAACCAACAAGCAGGATAAAGCAGATGACACCATGTACTTTACAATATATATATAACAACGTATCGTGTATCTACAAGTATAGGATTCTTTGATATTCTGGAGTAATTCCATCATGTAAATGATATGAGAGTGAGTTCAATTTATAGATAAGACTACCAGAACATCCTTCTCTTGTGTCTTATTTTGCATAAATCATGATAAAGGAAAATGTGCATACTATCACAACAATAAAGAATAGAATAATGATTATTTTTTCACAAATGACAAACAAACAAAACCGTACAATGTACAAATATATCTAAAGGTATCTATTCTACACAGCATTAAAATTCCTTCTGCTAGAATAGAAATAATGCTTTGACAGTAACTTAAATATGGTGCGAAACTAAAAACCTGCAAAATGGCAGGTAATAGATCAACTTGAGTAAGGAAACTTTTACCAGTGATCATATGTACAGTATGTACACTCAAGTTATCTGGATACCGAGTTAAACTGAAAATTATTTGAAAAAGATTTAAGAAAATGGTCATGTTTTAAAGACCTGACTTATGATGTTTAGAGTAAATTGAGATATAACAATTTGCATTCGGGACTTATTTGAATGAAAATCAAATGACAGCACACAAATCCATGTTGTTTACCAATATTACACTTAACAAAAATGTATATATGACCGATAAAGAGTATGCAGAACCTCTAATTGAGAAATTGTAAGGACATATTGATTTTTTAAAAAGCACTGCATTAAAAATGTGCCATGTAAATGAATTTGGATTGCTTACTGATGTATAAGTGATTAACTTTATTTATGACTATCAGTGTTTTCTATATTGTATTACACCAGGTTCCTCTATAACAGTTTATTATTTTATGACTATCAGTGTTTTCTATATTGTATTACACCAGGTTCCTCTATAACAGTTTATTATTTTATGACTATCAGTGTTTTCTATATTGTATTACACCAGGTTCCTCTATAACAGTTTATTATTTTATGACTATCAGTGTTTTCTATATTGTATTACACCAGGTTCCTCTATAACAGTTTATTATTTTATGACTATCAGTGTTTTCTATATTGTATTACACCAGGTTCCTCTATAACAGTTTATTATTTTATGACTATCAGTGTTTTCTATATTGTATTACACCAGGTTCCTCTATAACAGTTTATTATTTTATGACTATCAGTGTTTTCTATATGGTAATACACCAGGTTCCTCTATAACAGTTTATTATTTTATGTACCTTTTCCTGGCATAACATAGATAGTGTTTAAAAGTTAACTAGAGTACTATGACCTTGGTAGCTCACTTGATACAATTTAGGTTTGTATCCGTAAATTTCAAATTAACAATGAGTAGCTTGTATGACGAAGATAATTACTACAAATGTGTTGTATACACCTATTCCTATTATACAGCATACACAAGTAAAAGGCTAGATATCATAATAGTTTTTCAGAAAAGTATATATTTGTTTTAATCTTTTGATCAAGGTGACTTAACAAGTCATGACATTTATATGAACAAACCTGACAGCACTGTATGGCTTATTGCTCTTTTAATAGAGGAAGTTGTTACAGGTTTGGTACCTGTGATCTTGAAGTGGATCTTTGGTCTACTAAAGAATGTTGATAGCACTTCATACGTATACCAGCAAGTTACATGCCTATGTCATGACCTTAGACTTATTTGTTCTGAAGAAGAAGTTGAAAATATGAAAAGTTGACAATGGACAGATTTTGTAGCATTACATATTATCATCATGACATTTACCTTGAGAACCACAAATACCGATTTAGTTCTATTTTCTCCTCTTTTCTCTCTATTCTCTATGTAAAGCTATAAAAGCTCCCATTCAACTTATTTCAATTTAGTCAATACACATGTATCTTAAATCAAACACTTTTATTTTAGATATTGTGCAAAACAGAACAATTGTTTACCTCTGAACAGGTTCTATAATACCTTTATAAAGAATATCAAAACACATTTGGCAAGAAAAGTGTAAGTAGTCCATGTACACTAGCATGTATTGTATTTTATTTTACAATTGTAGCATGTTCACATTTTTTAATCCATGATTTCATATTGCAACAACCTAGAGCAACTATATCAACACATGTCTCAGATCAATATTTTGCTCTTGATTAAATCCTGGATCAATCAATGATCAATAAGCTAAAATTTCTTTATTAAGATTTTCAAAACTGGATAGTTTACAAAGCTTTATAGAAACTCTCGTCATTTGTATTTTGAAAAAAAACAAGAACTATGAAAACACCAGGTTTAGAATGTTCTTGCATTGTAGCATCATCACGGAATTATAAAAAAAAATAAAAGATAATATATTCTAAAATCTTGTAAACCAACATCAGTAAATGTAAGATACGTATAAACTGACAGGATTGATATACATTAAAGCATCACCAATCCAGATTATAAATTGCAGGATTACATTTTTTCTCAAATTATTGAGTTAATTAAAAAGGAAATATAAAGTGGTATACGTCATGTCCAGTCCAGGAAATATACAGTGGTATACGTCATGTCCAGTCCAGGAAATAGTTGCCTCCGTAAAACCAACTTTTGTGGATTATTTGCATCGATATTACTAGCTTTTACAGCACGGAGATATTATATAGGCCGGGAGGCTAAATTGAACAAAACCATTCACAATGTACTACCATAAATCATTCAATTGTAAAATACAAATCATTTCACACTATAAACATACTATGACATAATACAAAATATCTTAAACAAAATACGACATAAAATCCCTGAACAAATTCCGGTATTGCTTTGTAATATACAATTCATGAGAGCAAGAAGATGTAATGTAGTTTAAGTAGTAGTAAGTTGTAATACATCTATAAATACACATGTAACAGATAGACGTACAAGAAACCCCATGGAGTTAGGAGGATATCAGTGAATGTGTCCACAGCTTTAAATAATGATATAAGTTACAACTGTATATCTCATATTTAAATTCCCATTAATTAATCCGATTTGAACATTTTTGGTTGGGCAACTTTCCTCAAGACTTAACCCCAGGCTATAGGTTCACTGCACTTTTTCACAACTATCAAAAAAAGTCTATCATAGCTACATATAAAGCTGAATTTATAAAAAGCTTGAGTCGAACTAAGATCAATTAACAAAGGCATTGATGCCCAGTACAGTGGGAAAGAACAACAGAATGAAGACTTAAGTTTGGTTAAACTGGACACATGTGGTTAAACTGGACACATGTGGTCAAACTGTACACATGTGGTTAAACACATGTGATTAAACTGTACACATGTGGTTAAACTGGACACATGTGGTTAAACTGTACACATGTGGTTAAACACATGTGGTTAAACTGTACACATGTGGATAAACTGTACATATGTGGTTTAACTGTACACATGTGGTTAAACTGTACACATGTGGTTAAACTGTACACATGTGGACTTTTTATAAAAGGTCTAAAAACAGGCATATGTTAAAACTACATCAATTCAAGAATGTTTCAGATATATTCATTTTTTTAATGAAATAGTGCCATAACAAATACCCGTTCTAGTAGCAGCTCTGTATAAAGACATTTTATATGTAGACAATATTGAAATAATTTCTTAACAATGCTGATGGAGAATGGCTGTCTGTATAGAAATTCTGCAGGAAATTTTACAAAGACAGCATTTCAGCTTGTTTCAATAATCAGGACATTTAATTAAAGCTTGTTTCAATAATTATGAATTTACTAAGTAAAACCTGAGGAGTATTTTGTAGAGCATTGACACCCATTCAAACAAAAATAAATTAATAAACTTGTGTTAACTGGCCTAGAAGTTTATAATTTAATATGCTGGGTAAATGGGACCAAAAACTGTGATGCTAATTTCGAGGATTTGTCAGGAATTGACTAAATACACCACAAAATTCTAGACCACACTGGGCTAATGCTACAGGTGGTACAATGGTATATACATACACACAATGGGAGGGGTATTAGTGCGAAGGGGTCAATTACATACGGAGGGTCTGTACATATCACAGGTATAGCAACCTCCTATCCATATCAACCTAATGTGGCAACGTAGCAGTGTTCCTGTACAACACAGTGTTAGCAATAGATGTACGACAGTAAAGTTAGCAGACAACATCTTCAATTATTATAAACAGACACTCTCATGTTACACAATGAAACACTCATATACTCTCCCTTATACCAATGACCCATGAAAATACCAGTCGACACTGGTATTACCCAAGTTCCTTTTTTATCCAATTTAAAACAAATCCATATAATATGTAAAACTATGTAATGCACTCTGTGATTTGTAGTTTATGATCTTTTAGTATTGCCATGCCAACACTCTGTTGTTTCCGAAAACGCAGGAAGTGACATCGTAGAACGATCACGCAGTTCCTGCCAATCAAAGCACTTGAGTTATCCTAAGTGTTTTTCGATGTTATCGTGACATCACAGCTATTTCCTTGTCTACCCACCAATTCTTGTTTGGTGTTACCATGGTAAAGGTTACTTTGCTAATTCAAATGATATTCATTGCGACAAAGTCAAATTTACTCAAATAACACATTTCCATGGCAACACTGTTGACTTGATGACTGGGATTAGGGATCAGAGGTCATGCCACAAGGCCCAGTCTGTTGACCTTGGAAGACAGAAAAGTGTGGAGAACGAACACCATCGGCTTTGGACAAGTTCTCAGGTCGAGTTCCTAACAAAGAAAAAACATGAACTTTATACAGTGCAGTGTATATATACGTCATGGAGGTTAAATTTCTTTACATTTGAAGCCTGGAAAAGTATGTGAAAATAAACACCACTAAGCTATACTTTTCTGGTAAAGAGCTAATAAGTTTTATTGACTACCGTACATCAGGAATCAATGATGTAAAATTTAAACACCAGTTAAAATGTGAAATATTTCCCACACTGAACAAAAAGGATATTTTTACAGTATAGTACATGACTACATTTAAATCAATATTCATTCACAACTCAGACATAGATGCTTTCATATTATTTGTTGACCAAAAAAACCCAGCAGACCTGCTCTCCCTCCTCCCCAAAGTCTAGCCACATGAGCCTCTGTCCGTCGTCAGCCGACATCCTCAACTTGTCATATGGGTAGGACCACAAAACGTTTACTTTTTCGGAGCTGTCTCGAGGTTTGGCACTCGTAAGTGCAAATCCCTGGTCGTAGTGGAGTGTGAGTTTGCACTCCTGACCTTGCCATCCCACGGCTGTCAAGGTAAAAGGACACATGTTACATATAATACTCAAGGCAACAACCTATTGCTGTAATGGTAAATCCTAACCTACTGCTGTCAACATAAATGGCAACCTAAAAGTCATGACCTAGCCTACAACACAATGTACCATTATCGTGATTAGGAGCAGCGTGTTACATATAACCAATATAGGAGATAACAATATAATGCTTTAAAAAAAGAGGAGCATCATGTGTTAAATATGATCATGATCTAAGGCAAAAAACCTATAGTACCGCCGTCAAGGTGAACAGCTACGTAAACTATAGTACCGCCGTCAAGGTGAACAGCTACGTAAACTATAGTACCGCCGTCAAGGTGAACAGCTACGTAAACTATAGTACCGCCGTCAAGGTGAACAGCTACGTAAACTATAGTACCGCCGTCAAGGTGAACAGCTACGTAAACTATAGTACCGCCGTCAAGGTGAACAGCTACGTAAACTATAGTACCGCCGTCAAGGTGAACAGCTACGTAAACTATAGTACCGCCGTCAAGGTGAACAGCTACGTAAACTATAGTACCGCCGTCAAGGTGAACAGCTACGTAAACTATAGTACCGCCGTCAAGGTGAACAGCTACGTAAACTATAGTACCGCCGTCAAGGTGAACAGCTACGTAAACTATAGTACCGCCGTCAAGGTGAACAGCTACGTAAACTATAGTACCGCCGTCAAGGTGAACAGCTACGTAAACTATAGTACCGCCGTCAAGGTGAACAGCTACGTAAACTATAGTACCGCCGTCAAGGTGAACAGCTACGTAAACTATAGTACCGCCGTCAAGGTGAACAGCTACGTAAACTATAGTACCGCCGTCAAGGTGAACAGCTACGTAAACTACCCTAAGACAACATAAGGTCTCATGTGAACTTTCTTTTCTTCAGAATACCAATGTCTAGACATCCATGCCTTCTATTCCCCCTCCCTGATGCCTAACCTCCCACTTATCCGTCCATAACCTTTCAGTATTTGCTTCCAGATATACCGACCACATGTGACCTCTTTGATGAGGGCTGCGGCTCCATGGGACCCCTGTACAAAAGCTCTTGACCAGTAGGCAAGGTCTCGTTGAGTCTCCACTCGAAACACATGAATTTCCACCCCATTCCGTGTCCCTGTCCTTGTTCCGAAAGTCATTATTTCACTTCCTGTTTGAGGTGTAGCATGGTTGTTTGAGTGGACAAGTCTGAAGCAGAAATAAACATAATTTTTATTTTTTTTATATGTATATTTTTCAGATAGACCCTTTCCATTTATTTCTCAACCAAATGTAACTTTTTAGTACACCAGAGATTCTATCAAAATCTTCCACCAGTATTTAATTATACAATGCTATTAGATGTGCTTCGGAACAACATTGGGGACAAGTGGCATCCCACCATCTGGAGAACTAGGCTAGTGGCAAGTAGTGATAGGGAAACATTGGAGTTTTAAAACCTTGACATATCTAGATAGCAAATATGTAGTAGGCTGAACTTTTGAGGAAATTTCATCAGCCACTTGCAGAAAATGAGGAGAGTGGGGAAAATTTTAATGTCTGGTAAATGGGTATCATTTACATGGAACCTCTGTCAATATTACAGAAAAACCAGGGCCCAGTTGTTCAAAAGATGGTTAGCTTAATCACTGTTTAACGACATTTTTCAACCTTTAATAACTTTATCAATATACAGAGTAAAATCTTAACAATTTTGTATGTACATTTACTCTACTAAACATTTGATGTCTGGAAGATTGTAACTAATGCAATGGTTGGGTCTTAAAATTACTCAAAAATTAAAATTTGAGCTAATCACTGATTTAGCTTATACCGGGTCCAGGTGTTCTTCATTATAATAAGAACACCACATACATACTGTACTAATATGTCACAACATATTACAGTGTGACCATGGCCATCAGCTATCAAAATGTGTCAAAGCCTAGTGGAGGAACTAAATCACTTCTGGTTAGGGATTGAACACCTACCTAGTTGCTAATAAGGGATGACTCTGGAAGGGTGTGGCCCATTCTTCTTTACTCCAGGGAGCAGTATCGTACAGCAGTGCATCCTTATCTGTCAGGGCTATAAACACAGGTTTCCAGGTGGGGTTCCCCTGCTCGTTCAGCAGCTGTAAACAATAGTAATATTCTGTTGATCACTGGCGTAAGTGTGAGGTTAAAACAAAAAATTATACATTACAAACAAACCTAGCAGATGTGAAGCAAGTGTGATGTCATATCAATTACTGAAAAACAAACCTAGTCAGGTATCAACAGATGTGATGCACCCCAGTACATTGCACTGTATCTCTAAAATAACCTTTATCCTTTTTTTTGGTCGGGATTTCATTATTTTGGAGGTGAATTTTACAGTTGATCCCTTATATCTTCTGTAAATAATTATTTTAGACAGTAATTACATGAAGAACTTTTAAGACAAAATAAATTGGGACCTTCTCAGTGTTATGTCACATAATCTGTTCTCACCTGTTCAGAGAGCCAACCTATGTGCCGCACTTCCCGAGAGTTGGGGGCTGAACTCATCACATGGTTGGCTTCCACAATACACTGGGACATTAGCAAGTTCACATTGGAGTGGATAGCACTGAACCAATCACTGGCAGTGGCCAGGTCTGGAAATCGTAAAATACACGAGCTCTTTCCATCAGGAGAATGTAACTCCAATGTGCGTTTTTCCGGGTCTGACATGCTGAGATTGCGACAGAGGTAACAAAGCCGGAGAGGAATAGCCTTTGACTCGGTCCAGTTCGCTTTTGCTGCATCTCGCTGTGCCTCTTGACTCCCCCAGCCCAGTTCATTGAGAGCAGAGGACTTTCGAATGTAAGGGCTCACCTCACGTATATACTTCACTGAAAGGGAACAAAGAAAAACATTGTAACTGTCAGTGGATATAACTTGTACAGATATACTGAGGTTGCTATTCACATGTGTTAAAAGGTGTATTATATATTTACCAATGGTTTCACAATACTTTTCTTTTTATCATACTTCAAATGCTCCGACTTCATTTAGCTTCTCAGTTTTTGAGATTTTGAACAAACTATCAAACTGATTTTTAGAACTCTGATTATTTCACAGTGCTCTTTATATATATATATATACACTGTATATATATCTGTCAATTAAGGCATTCCTTGAAACCGTTTAGTCATATTTAATAGAATTCTTCTCTTATTTTATTGAGGTGTTCTGGTTCTTACCAGTTTCAGAAAGTATTTTTTCTTAGGGTGACTCAGCAAACATACAATGTATAATAATTGAAACATGTATGAGATAATCTGGGAAACTGGTTGGTTGTATTCAGTCAGTCTTAAGGAAGTAATATTAATATAATTTAGATAATGAAGAATATTTTCAAAATTGTTTGGGTCACCTGCAGCTCTTTTTTGTTTAAATTTGATCCTAAAATTAAGCCAGTTAATACTCTAAAACAGGACAACATTAGTTCTGATATTTAGACTATCAGCGTTCCTTGTCCGCGATGCTCTCAGCTTCATTGCTGCCTTCGGCTGTCTTTAGCCGAGGGGACTATTGGTTTTATATAATAGCTATATTTTCAATTATAGTATATCAGTTCTATCTTCTTGTAATTTGATGTATATGTACATGTAATAACTGTTCTGTTTCACTGTGTCGTGATAAAGGAGCAGATCGCTACAAATATTTGACAACCTAATTATAAACTTGTTCACACTGTTGGAATTACTTCTTTGCCCAATATACATTGTATAATATACCTGATATATATCGCGTATGGCAGCTTTATGTAACTTCATGTTTTAAAGTAATTGGTTCACACTCATATACATATATATGTAGGTAGGAAACAGGTCATTATTAATGGTAGTATGATGTTTCACCTACAGCTGGAACACAGCTCATTATAATGTGGTGTCTCTAGCTACACCAGACAAATTCAATTTTAAATTTCTCTCCACATGCATGATATAACACTTAGAATATCTTTCCAAACATAACAGGTACATTTTCCCCTGCTTTGATGGAAACGAAAAAATGAAAAGTTTAATCGAAGAAATGAAACTAATCAAATGGAGCTCAATGCAGGATCTAACCAAAGAAATATAGGTCAAAGTGACCGATCATGACCTATATTTGATATGATGGTGTATACATAGTTATCCTTTAGAATGAAGCTTTGTATAAAGTCTAACTCTAGCAGTCTAACCAAGATTCTCTAATGGACAGACAAAGCGACAGCAAAGATAATCACCAACTGATGTCATCCCCATTACCTTACATTTTGTATGTTGCACAGGTATAACAAATGGTTTTGCTATTTAAAGCTGAAGTAAATAATCATCTGATTTATATGCTTTATATATGAGTAACTGATCCCTTTTAAATATGATGATATCTCTATTTTTGAAAAAAAAATATCCATGCAAAACACAATTTCTTATCATGTCATTAGTTATAAGTTTGTGATCAATACATCTGTACATATGATACATTGATATATTGATGAAACTTGATATGATCTGAATGTAAAGCATGTCTAAATTTGTAAACTGTGTGTATATTATTTAAATGCATCTTCAATCGGAATTCAATGTTACTAAGTTACAATTCAATGGCACAGTGTAAACTTGTAAGCATGCATTCAGCTAGAATTAGTGGATGGTCTGTGTGACACATTATATGTACACTGAAAGCCTTGACATGAGGTATCTTGTTCACAGCGATATAGACTTTTGATGTTCTAGACAGTTCTGTGATCTTAAGATCAGTGATATAAAATAACATGAGATACTTGCCTACATTTACATGTAATGCTACTATATATATATATATATATAGCTAAAACTTCTGACAGGTTGAGGTGACATTTAAAGAAGACTTGAGGACAATAGGACACCTGATACATGCAAAATATTTTATACTGAGAACATCCGACATATGTCAAATATTTTATACAGTTGCAATATTCTGTATTATTTCTATGTCCAATGTAATTTTGTTGTAATTTACAGCAGAGCCTCATCTGTCAATAAAAAAAATGCTAACCTAGAAGCATGTCGGAGCAATGTGTATGTTTCCACTCCCAATGTAACTAACTCGTATGACGAAAACTCTCAGGTATAAAACCAGAAAAAGCCACCAAAGTGCCCTGTAGCTATATATATATAGTCACCTGACTAGTAGACCAGTAACATCAACATTCCTAGGAATGAAATACATACCTGTATGTATATCACTTAAATTACCTATTGGCCAAAAAGCAATCGACCATATATTTATTTTATGATGATGAAACTCAATTGCTTACAAACATGTTCCATGATGCATTGTGGGATATCTTGAAGAGTATGTTGGTGAACAACTGAGTTTAACTTTTATACCAGCATGAATGTGTGTAAGGTTATACTGTGTTTGATGCAATGTGTGCCCTGGAGTGGACACGAGTACTGTTAGACTACAAGTGGGATGTCTTTATTTACACCTTGTCCTATTTTTTCTTCAAACAACGCAGCTTGTATTTTCCTATAGTAGGAGAGACATGATGGTCCCTTTATTTAACTGCAAAGTTGAATCGAAGGTCCCATTAATTAAGGGGTATAAACATATCATTCTCACAGATTTCACTGTATCAGCAGTTTTGTTTTCATTCATTTAATTTTTGCCTTTTTCGCCTGCCCTAACGGCAAACATTAGTAAACAAAATAATTTTTATAGTAAATAATGTGAAACGCAAAATGAACACTGGGCAAATATGGATTGATATGGCAAAGGGCAAAGGTTTGACTGAGCCAAAAACATGGTATACAGTATATATATATAGGTACAGAACATTTTTGGTGGCGTGGAAATTGCCAACCAGAGATTATAACGTCAAGATAAAAGAAAGCTGAACCTTTTAAGATAAGTGCTTCAGTTATATTTTTTAAACTCCCTTACATATATGAAGTTTTTATTTTTACATTAATTATGAAATAATTTATTTCAACTTATATTAATCTCTCTTGTTGGCCCGGATATAGAAAAACGTAGGGTCTTAATGTGGGAGGACACTGGAGTACCCGGGGAAAACCCACGGGGTCGGGCAGGTGACCCTATACCTTTTCATGTCCAATCGGGGAAACGAACCATGGTCGCTATCCACTGCTCCACCCGACCACCCAAACTCCCTTTGGGTGCCCTTATTAGTCAAACATGGTACACATTTCAATCCTGTTTAGTGTTATTTACATTCAAAACAAAATCATTTCATATTCCTGTATATGGTTTCTTTTGGATCACGATGCAAAATGTTTTACCAAATGGTGCAACAGTTATTTTATAGAACTTGATAATGATTTCTATGGTTACTATATATTTTTATCAGGCAACAAACATTAAACAGAAACCATCCAGGAATTTAAATTTCCATAATGACATGATTGATCCCCATTTATCTTCTTACAGTATCAGTATGAATCAGTCAGTATGAATCAGATTTATGCTTTTCAGTTTTCATAACATCTTTTGGAGTTGATAAGTTTATTTTCAGGTTGCTAAACAGAAATGTAAATATCTTCCTGATTAATATCAAGGTTGAAAGTCACAAGTAAAGATTTAAGATTATTGTACAAATGATTGAAAGCACTGCATCACACATATAAACTCTGGTTATCTCCAGTAAATTTTACTATATATAGTTGTCAGAATATGCATAATGTATTCCAAAAATATTTATTATTATGTACTTATTTTTTTAAATTTTAGATTTTAAGCCATCTATGGCACAAAGTAAATGTGTCCAATGTTTTCATTATTGGCACCCTATATTTTGTGTTACAGATCGTTTGAAAACTACTGCAATTTGAACATGACTTCTGTCATGCTATTTACTAATATTTTTACCATCATCAGCCAAAAGATCAGTCCAAAATAACTGACTTACTCTTCTACAAAAAGAAATTATAATTTTTAAGAGGCTTGAGAGAATTATTTCAAATAGGCAAAAATATATTCATTACATTTTACCAATACTGTGACAGGTTCTTTCTGCATGTTTGTATACTTTTATTTCAATATTGTTGTGCTTTTGTTTCTTAATGCATGTTTTGTTACATTATGCCCACTGTGATATTTTTATATGTTGTCGTAATATTAGTTCTTCAGAGCTAATGTTTCACGTTACACATATATACAACAAAAAATAAAGAAAAAAAGTTTTAATTGTACATGTATAGGATTATATATTTTGTTGGGTTGCAAAAGAGATTGACAAGTTACAATTAAGTCTTTTGAACATTTTTTTATGAAGATGTCAGCCTTAATGCCTTATTGCCAACTATGTTTACCTGGCCATGGGATTTTTTAATAGCCAATGTACCAGTTTAATATATTCAAATTACATATAAAGTTCCTATTTTAATTGAGGTATCTGAATATAACTTATATTCAAATTACATATAAAGTTCCTATTTTAATTGAGGTATCTGAATACAGGGACAGTATATATATACGTCCCTGCTGAATATGACTTATCGGGGGGGGGGGGGGGGGGGGGGTAGATTTTTTTGGTGACTACAGCATTTATCAAATTTAAATTTATAAAAATATGTCTCATCGTCAGAAGCTACACACATTAAGAGAAAACCATACCTTACAGGGACATTCATTGTAAATTAGAAAGATATTAAAGAAACAAAATATAATCAACAATAGTGTTCTGAGTGTAAAAAATGATCATGACAACAGTGTAAATGTAATAGGACAGGGATCCTTACATTAGTTTTAGACAGTGAACTATTTTAGTTCCAGTTTCAATGTTAGTTGCAATACATTGACAAACGCTCATTACTATTTTTATCACTCACTCAGCTACTTCATTGATAACAAGAATAAAATGCTGAATTAATCAATTTTATCCGTGATTTACCTTCAATTTCGACGACCTTCTTAGCCTTCTTGAGAGCTTTGACAGCATCATCATGAGTTGCCTCCCTTAGATCTTCACCGTTGACAGACATAATAGCATCCCCGACGTAGAGTTTCTCAGTTTTGTCCGCTGCCATACCTTTAAATATTTTACTGATGAGGATAGGCATTTTGTTTTCCTTACCACCCTTGATACTGATCCCCAATCCATTTTGTTCCTCTTTCACAACTCGGACGAGACGCTTTTGGCCGGTGATGCTCTCTGGTAGTTTCTCTTGGTTTGTCGTACTTCCGTTTGTGCGAGCTGTATCCGTGTTATTAGTGACACTAGATTGGTTTTCTGGATTTTCATCTAACGCTAGCGTTAAAGAATCCTCGTTTAACGTCACGAATACCTTACACCACTGCTGTCGAATATACACCTCGAATAGCCCCGACCGAGGTAGTCCAGCCGCCATTTTGACTACCATAGTGTCACGTGATAACACTTCATTCCTTGAGGCCATTTATGGGGTTTCCTTTCAAAGATCAAAGGGTTTTACCGTTACATTAAGTGCATAGCCACACGGAAGAACAAAGAGGGGCATCACTCCTTCTCTTCTGAGAGTAGGCTAATTAGGGAGGATACTTGTTTCCAGCAAATTCTTACAGGGTCAAGGGCGACGTAGGCAACCTCCCCGAACTTCCGCATCCCAACCCCCAAACCCGGGCAAACCTAACAGCCAAAATTTGAGAGAAAAAAAAAGTACATTTAACTCATCGACAAATAAATGTGCTGCTTAATTATATATAAAGTAAATCGAGGAAAGAAGAGTAACAATTAAGTAGAAAATCAAATGTCAAAAAGACGCTACATAATAACGCATTATATACCGTAGGGATTTTTTTATTGAAATGTATAAAGTCTAGACTCATATCGAAGTTTACCACGTGGTCTATACAGCTACACATCACACTTTGATATTACATATTTCCAAACTGATGTATTTTTTTTTTTAAATCAAACAGTCCAATCTAAACGGTATAAGGTATTTTACGTTAGGACGAACACTTGCAGTTCTAAAGGAAAAGACCCAGCAAAGTACGTAGAAATAAAACAGCCACGTATACGTATTAAAGTGTCTAAATATATGTACGGTAACTGATTAGTCATATACAATATCGGGATGTCGACAATCAATATGCAACAGTGTGCTAAGGCATCTTCAGCATACAACACTTACATCTTAAACATAATAATTCACAATCCGGACTAATTGTCCATAACTTTGTAACTTTCTGACGGACTAAAGCAAATCGAACATTTAAAAACCCTCAGAAAAAGTAAAGTGGCGAAGGTACTAAAGAAATTTGAATAATTTTGAAACGACTGGAATCATTGGTGGCATTCAAGCAAGTTTGCCAATCATTCCCTTTCCTTTATCAAAATTGATTTTTAACAATTTGTTTCCATTGAACCTTCTTCGGGAGTGTACACGACTTAATAAACTCATACAAATATTTTTGCAGATCATACCTATGGAAAATAAACCACATATTTTGAATTACACCATCGGTACTCTTGTGACAAATAAACACATTGCAAATAAACGCTTAACGGCACAATGTCCTAAACAATGATTTTACAATGGTCTACTCTAGCACGTTAAACCCAACATTCCTAAACAGATGTCAGATCTAGTGCGAAACGGAAAACATTGAACCAATTTTACACATAGATTTTAACTTTTCTAAATGACTCCAATCCGCGCTGGAAAGTAGAAACCATAGTTCGCAGACCACGTGGTAAATGATAGATCTATACAGCCTTAAACCAAGGGTTCATATTCTCTCCTGTTAGATTGGACCTGAAAAAAAAACACATGAACTTCTAACTTATGACCGACATCGTCTATATTAGGACAATTGTCAAGATATACACCAACGTGTATGGTACTTCTTTCGAACCAAGTAACCATTTACGTTTATATTTTGAATACATCGTTTTCGATTTAACAATTATACAGTTTTTGGAAGTATTATATGTAAATCTCCATTTGCAACTCTACATGAAACATATTCGTTGATTTATCTAGATTATATTTGTTATGTGCTAACACCACTATATCGTCTGCCTGCGTAGGGCAAGTTTTAACATAAAATGCGGCATTTTAGTTACATAAGATATATCTAACAATTCATTTATATAAACAATGTAAAGTATATATCCATGGCCTCCGTTGCCTCGTTACCTGTTCGATGACGAACCATTTGGATTGAAAGCCTTGATATAAAACACAACTCTGCATATCTGTAAACATGAAGCTAATATCTTAATATATTTAACAGAAAATCCCATTTGATGGATTTTGAAGTAAAGATCGTTGTGCCAAACGCAGTCGAAAGCTTTAGAAGTATCTAAAGAAAAACCAGCGGAAAGCTTATTAACATAATCTTTGGCATACATACTAGCTTCATGTAAAAGGAAGGCAGCCATGACACTGCTCACTTGTTTTTGCAGAAGACTCAAGTTTAAAATATTTTCAGATCTTAAGAAGCAATTTCTCAAAGAAATCATAATAACAGGCAATACTGATATTGCTCGATAACTATAAGGGTCAGCTTTTGATTTATTATGCCCTTTATATAAAATACAGATAACTCCTCTTTTGAAGGACAACGGAATGTAGTCGTTAGCTATAAAAGCAATGATCGAAAAACTTTGTTAAAACAGCGGTAAAAGGACACACGAAGACATTTAAAGTTGTCATATGACCAGAGGGTAACGATTAACAAACTTCCTTCATCAATATAAGAGGCAACATGCTCGTCTGAACAAAATATTACGGTAACTTTGCGATGGACATAGTTTTAAAATTTTCAACAGAATCAGGACTGTTTTATTCTTTATATAATTTACAGTACAATGAACTCCAGTTATCTGCCAAATCCGCTTTCGAATGCATTACAAACTCAATATCCTACACACAAAGTTAGTGCCGCGTTCTCGTCGCACCAGATACGATAACGGACAAGGTACTAGTTAAACCGATCACCAAGCAAAACCATCATACGTTTTCCAAGTTGTAAAATTCGAAATCAGCTGTAATGGGGAAACACTTTGTTCTTACGCCGTGGAACCATTAGGATATCCCGCCTCTCGCCGTACGCCCTCTACATTGATAATTGTTTCCACGTGAGAGCGCGATAAGAACAAATATATTATGGATAAGCAGAAGAAGATGTGGTGGGAACAGCAAAGGGTGATTAAATTCTAGTTTAAAATCGAGTAAAATTGGTTTCGTCCATTGATTAACACTGAAATGGGATCCGCTGAAAATAGACTTTTAATTATTAATTGTAGTGGACGATGATTAATGATTAAGACGCCATGCTACACACATTTGGAATAGACGCCTTATTTGATACACACGGCTGAAGTAGACGCCTTAGTTGTTGCACACGTTTCGAGTAGACTCCATAATTGTTACACACGTTTGGAGCAGACGCCTTTATTCTTACACACGTTTGGAGTAGATGCCTTCATTTTTACATACGTTTGGAGAAGACGCCTTAATTGTTACACACGTTTGGAGTAGATGCCTCAATTTTTACATACGTTTGGAGTAGACGCCTTAATTGTTAGACACGTTTGGAGAAGACGCCTTAATTGTCATACACGTTTGGAGTAGACGCCTTAATTGTTACACACGTTTGGAGTAGATGCCTTAATTTTTACATACGTTCAAGTTCAAGATATTTTATTAAGTATTTCAATGCCAACTAGCCCATAGCACAATTTGCACAGTACATAAAAACCATATTCACACAATTTTTAAATCAAAAACAATTTCTGAAGAGTACCTTATAACGTACAATTTACTAATATATAGCACTGACTTTCGATTTTATAATATTAAATTTGTGATGTCACAGATATAATATAATTTGATCTTGCTTCAAAAGCTAAATATACAAATTTAGCAACATTTCTTAATTATCTTCATTTCCAGTTATTAACATATATTTTGCTTCAACATAGTTTTCCAATGCACACATTTTTCTTATATGTTCATATAATGGACAGTGTAATAAAAAATGATATTCATCTTCAACGAGTCTTGTATTGTTTGTATATAAACAGTAATTACATAATCTTTCTTCCCTTGGAATTTTTAGTTCACGACCTTTTTCAATAAATAATTCATGACTGGATACACGCAGTTTGGTTAGAGCAATTTTATGAGACTTATTTGTAATACAATATAAGTATCGTTCGGGTTCAATTAAAGTTTTGACATCCGAGTAAAAATTTAGTTTATTAGAGTTATTTATTCCAAAATCCCATTCTTGCATACAAGTGTCTTTTACTCTTTGGGTAAACAGTCTCATAAAACTATTTACATCGCCAACTTCATGATATATCCATACATAATGAAATCCATATTTGTACAACAGATCTCTAATATTTGTAGCCCAAGTTACTCTTCCAGCATTGTGTAAATTTACTAACATATCATAGCACCTTCGTGGATATCTAGAGGTGTCCATACTTAAAATATTAAACCAATACTTTATACACTTTTTATAATAAACCACACACATGGGATGTCTCCCTAATTCACCCAGAACAGCCAAGTTTGAAGTTGATTGCTTTACTCTCAATAGTGTAATCGTTGCAAACGTTTGAAGTATAACTTTAATTGTTACACACGTTTGGAGTAGACTCCTTAATTGTTACACACGTTTGGAGAAGACGCCTTAATTGTTACACACGTTTGGAGCAGACGCCTTTAGTTTTACACACGTTTGGAGTAGATGCCTTAATTTTTACATACGTTTGGAGAAGACGCCTTAATTGTTACACACGTTTGGAGTAGATGCCTCAATTTTTACATACGTTTGGAGTAGACGCCTTAATTGTTAGACACGTTTGGAGAAGACGCCTTAATTGTTATACACGTTTGGAGTAGACGCCTTAATTGTTACACACGTTTGGAGTAGATGCCTTAACTTTTACATACGTTTGGAGTAGACGCCTTAATTGTTACACACGTGTGGAGAAGACGCCTTAATTGTTACACACGTTTGGAGCAGACGCCTTAATTGTTACACACGTTTGGAGCAGACGCCTTAATTGTTGCACACGTTTGGAGAAGACGCCTTAATTGTTACACACGTTTGGAGCAGTCGCCTTAATTGTTGCACACGTTTGGAGAAGAGGGGTTAATTGTTACACACGTTTGGAGCAGACGCCTTAATTGTTACACACGTTTGGAGTAGACGCCTTAATTGTTACATGCGTTTGGAGTAAACGCCTTAATTGTTGCACACGTTTGAAGCAGACGCATTAATTTTTACACACGTTTGGAGTAGACGCCTTAATTGTTACACACGTTTGATGAAGACGCCTTAATTGTTACACACGTTTGGAGTAGTCACCTTAATTGTTACATGCGTTTGGAGTAGACGCCTTAATTGTTACATGCGT